ACTAGGGCTTAATTAGCATTAGTCTACTGAGTGAATGCAACTGACAAATACCAGGTTTGCACTGCTACAGTTAACAGTAACTCCTGTATGTTTGTGTTGCTTTTTAATGACAGAGCCTATTACTTAAATCTACAGTTTATTCCATAAAGAATTACTTTAAATTTCATATTTCTCTTATGAATATGTGCTAAATTATGAAGTTCAAGTGTATGTAATTCTCACCTCCAGAATTGCTTTAGTCTCTGAAACCCAGAACCTACATTTTGTAATTTCACCTTGCCTTGCTTGGAATGCTTTGAACTACTTATCTTTCAATTTTATCAGTTTCCTTTTAATGAACAGAGCACAGACCTCTTACTTTGCAGTTCAAAGGAGATGAAGAAAACATCAGTCAGGATGTCAGGTACGTAACACCGTAAAGGTGTTTTTCTTATAAAGGCTGCCAGAATAATTTTGCAAAACCCAATCTCTGTCTAACGTTTCTAGGTAGCCAAGTATCACATTGCTTTCAAGGAAATGAATGCTCCTCGATTTTGCTGAAATTCATTCCTAATTTATCCTTAGACAGTTTATTTAGCCCTACTTAGACAGTTTTAAGCATTTTATTCATGTTTAGAAAGAACTGGAAAGAATTGTCAGGGAGAGCAGACAGCACTGTGAGGGGTAGGCACAGCCAGAGACACTGCTGAGCAGCAGTCTGTTTGCCCACAACTGCCCTCTTCCCTCTCTGCCCATGCTTGTTCCTCCAAACCACCATGACCCCCCCTTTCTCCCCTTTGGGTTCTGGCTCCAAGTATCCCAGAACAGGATTTATGCACCCCCCCAAACAGTCTTCTCTAGCATCCCATGAGCCCATGTCTCTGTAGATCATTAAGCCCATGGGGTGACCCAAGGGCTTGCCTGGGGGCATCTCCCCTGAGATGGCCCAGGAAGGGAAAGGCAAAGGGGGTTCAGCTTCAAGAGCTCCAGTTCAGTATTGGGCTTCTTGTTGCCCTTGCTCCTCTGTGCTCACAAGAGCTGAGCCTTAATCCCAAACCCAACCTCCACCACTGCACAAAGCAGGTGGGCTGCACCATCACCTCTCTTCACGGGCAGCGCTCCCCGCGCAGGAGGCTTGCTGCCACTGCAGGTTCTGAGGGCTTGCTGATGTGGGTGGCTCCAGCGTGCTGAGCACACAGCCCCACACCTCAGGAGAGGAGCTGCTGCATCACAGCCCCAGCAGTGGCAGATGCACCTGCACAAGTTACCTCTTTCCTCTGGTGCGCTCTCTATTTGTGGAGCTGAGCTTTTAATCACATAACCTAACGCAAACCAGAATTACATGTCTGAAACATGATGGGAACATCAGTTTAAAAGCAAGTCTGCCACAATCACCTAAGCCAAAATGCATCTGGAAACACTGCTCTGCCTCATGCTAGCCTCTTCCCAATTTCCCCTTACAGCATGGCCTGAACAACAGGTGTCAGCCAAAACAAACCCTGTTGTGAGTGCAAGGTAAAGACTTTTCCATCTCAGAGAAAAAAAACCTGAAGCGGTTTCTTGCTATGAAAGTGCATGTGACACTTCTACAGAGGAACAGGGCAAATGACCTGATTTTACTACCTTGTATCTGTTGTGGTTTCCCTATGGCACAGAGCAATTGAAGCAAAACACTTAAAGTTGTTAAGAAACTGAAAAACAAACTGAAAATTTCTAGAAACCTTATGGTTTGTTTTTAAACTTAGATCCAAGTGTAAGGATCAGCTGCAGTTACTCACACACCACACTATTTGATTATGTTCCAAGTCCACATTTCCTAAGAGATTTCAAGGACATAAGATTTAAATCCTTACAGTAGAATCAATGTTAAATTACTGTATTTGCAAATGTTGGCCTTCCTCTGTGGGACAGTTAGCATGAACATAAAGACCCGCACTGATAAACTGTAGCAAAACTATTTCTACCTAGAGAGTGGTTTGCATGCACAAAGGCAGCCAGATGGTCTGTCTATCCCCATAATATCCAGTTTTCCACACAGAAGTCTGTTTCTCTAGAATCATGGAATAATCTAAGTTGAAAGGGCTTGGTGGAGGTTGAGCCTGCTACTCAAAGCAGAACTGACTTCAAAGCTAGATCAGGTGGCTCTGAGTCTGTCCACTTGAGTTTTGAAAATTTCCAGTGATGGAGACTTCACAACCTCTCTGGCTACCTGCTGTAAGTCCTGGACCACTTTCATGGTGATTCTTTAGATTTTATTTCATGTATGCAACTGGAATTTCTCTCACTGCAGATTGTTGTCCTTTTACTGGGCACCTGTAGGAGGAGTACAAGTCTCTTTTCCATATGGTAAGCATGGAAGTTCAGTTCAGCCACCCATCTTTACCTTCTCTCTTCTACAGGCAGAACAATCTCAGCTCTTCATGGATTACACACCCCAGCCCCACCACCACCCTCTAAGCTCCTGTTCAAAAAAAAAAAAAAAAATGAATCCATGGGTAGAACTCTCACACTAGGGGAGCCAAGCTGAGCACAGCACTCTGGGTACTGGCCTCACAAGGAAGGGGAAGCAACCACCTCCCTCAGTCTGCACACTGACCCACACTTGCAGGCTTCCGCTCTTCACAGCTGCCCCCAGGCCCTTTTCTGCAAAGCTGCTTTTTATCCAGCCTACCTGTCCACAATTTGGCTACAGAATTGCTTTGGGAGATTCTGGCATCTAGCCTTAGAAGATTTAGCTTCAGTATGAATGAGATCCCCTTATCAATCTACCAAAACTGCACCTCTTGCAATTCAGTTCAATTTCTTTTGGCTCTGCCTTACAAGGAAAATCTCAAATCAAAGGGCCTGCCAAAAGACATGCAGCTGTGGTGCCACAAAGTTCTACCCATGGATGAATTTTTTTCCCTCAGAAGAGGGCTGGTCTTCGTTAACAGCATTTCATCAGTGAAAATGACTGTACTAAAATGAAAACTAAGTAGTAAACCCTATCTTTACCAGGATCACCTAATCATGTGTTTCAGTTGTCTCAAGAGCTAGGTGTAGTATCTATATGTTATCAAAACAGTCTAAAGCTGACAGCAATTTTATTATATCAGGGGAAATCACTTACATGGAAAGATTTTATAAGATGGGCTGTGGTTTCCCACTTAACTTAAAAAGAGGTGGAATGCAGCAATTTCACTTAAAAAAAAAAAGAGACAGGTATTATTTTTATAATTCATCCTTATTACAAGAGCCATGTTAATGCTATGAAACTGTCAGTCATAGTCTAGGTTTTACTTCTGAAAAACCACAGAATTTGTTAAAAATTACCCGAGAGCATTTAACAAAATAAGAGTATTTCTAACCAGACCTAGTTGATACAGAACTGCACAGAGCAATCATCAGTGTCCCTCTCCAACACTTGCTTCTCTGCTCACAGAAATGTTCCCATCTTTTTATGACAGGGCTCTGGTTGTCAATTCTAACATCTGAGGTGGGGTACCCAACTACATTGGTCCTTCTGGGAGAAGCCTATGTGAAATACTGAACAATATGGTTTGAAATACACTGTGAAACAAGCATTCAAGGGAGCTTAACTTGTCACTTATGTTTAAATACCTCTAACAATGGTAAATGAGACAAGATTTTCCCAATCAAGATTGTTGGGTTTCTTTCCTTTGTTGAATCATAAACCACCTGACAACTTGGGCTGATACCACTAATGTAATTCTGTGAAGTCTTAACCAGATTCACCATCAGGAATTGCAAGATCCTTTGGGCTTAAAAGGATTCTCAAAAGCAGACTGGACTATAAAAAGAGCATTTTTCATAAAACCCCCTCAAATCTCATAGAGCTTCCTTAATTTAACTAAATGTTAAGACTTCTGGATCAAGGAGTCTCAAAACACAATTTAGCCAGCACAATAGCTTTATTTTACAATTTGATTTATTATACACAATTCAGTAAAAGTTCACAGGAGGAACAGCATGGAGACGTACCACTTTTTGGTATTTCCTTCAATTAGAGCCAAAGTGCAAGGTCTCCAATTAACTCCCAAGGTAAGAGAACAATACTTGGCTGTTAACACAAGTCATGTTAACACTTAAAATATCTAATTAGTTCATGAAAAGGCCACATCTTCAAATGCAATTAGAAGTATTTTAATAAAGTTTTGGTTTCTTTTGGTATGATAAATTGCCACATATCCTACAGCTAACAGGTAATGGAACATCATGTTTTCCCAAGGCATGTAAGAAAGCAAACAACACTGCCTCTGCATTATTCCATACACCTTAAAAATGAATGCCAAAAGCAACTGTTCATTTGAAATTTTATTTCCTTCAGACATGCTGATACTCTTCTTAAGAAAAAAGAAAGGAAAAAATAAAGGAAAAAAAGTCTAATCCAAACTTTTCCATATACATTATCTTGAGGCACAGGTTCCCCTAACCTTAAATGAATTTTTTACATAGGCTATATCATATGTTACAGTATTGTTCCTATCTGAAGTTATGGCACATTGACTTCCTGGGGTGAAAAAAATTCTCCTCTGCGTTCAGCTGCTACAATATGGCACAAAGTTACAAATCAACACCATGACTAAATACTCTGATGCTTTTTTGCTGGCTATTTTTGGGGTGCACATAAATAAAAGGCACACTTTTGCTGTCTCCTCTCAAATCATTTATGTAATGTACAAGCCTAACTTCATAGCACTGCTCCAGGCCTGCTGGCCCAGTGCAAAAAAACATTTAAGTCAGCTTCTAGTGCTAGTAGCAGCTTTAAATGCTTAACCAATGGCTTTAGTTTAGCATGTTACTTCCACTGTGGTTACTACTGATGACAGGCCAACAGTGTTTCTGAAAAATAAAATTACAAATATTCAAAAAAAGAAAACTAAGTTAAAAATAAAATTATTTATAGTCACTTACATGTCTATTTTCCAGGTGTGTTCACAATGTTCAAAAAGTGCACATTTTGAAGTCTTGTTTCAATATTACAAATGTCCATGACCTACACATTATAGCAGTGCCACTTGCAACAGTATCACTGCAGAACTGTCAACCTTGCCAGGACTGACCCTGTTCTGCAAGAGCATTGTGAAAATACAAGAATTTGCTCTTAGCTAGAACTTAGTGTCCACAATGTCTTAAGTATGGTATTTTTAAATATTTGCATTGAACTTTGTACAGCAGTCAGAATCTGAAAACCAGAAGTTTAGTAGTTTCTCTTTTTGGCGCTCATTTTTACTTAAAATATTTTTCAAGAATGAAAATGATCTTACAGCACATGAAGAACCCTCAAAAATAAAAGCTCCACTAAGTCTTACACACTGTTAAAAACTTACCCCATAAGATTTAGTTACTGATTTGTGAATCCTTACAAAATTACTTTTTGTGATTTAACAACAAATAACATTGATGAAATTATCATATATAAAAACAGCTTAGGTCTTAACATCAACGGTCTGACAAACATATTTAAACAAGAATATTCTGGGTTAAGACTAGTGCTAAATTTAGCTCCTAAATAGAGCTAAATTTAGGTTAAAGAGTTTAGACACTCTCAACTTAATATGCCTTTAAAAAAGGTAAAGTCCAACTTTCAGAGGAGTCTGTAAAAGAACAGTTTCAAGTAAGTATGGAGTAATCAGGTATTGTGGCTAGAGTTACCATAAATACGGACTACATGCTGACTTGACAAGATTGTGTTAAAAGAAGTGTGAGTTGAACCACTACCTTTGAAGGTTCTTTGGTTATCTTTAAAAAAAAAAATCTGACTGTTAAAACAACAGTGCAAGTTCACTATAAAGCCACATGCCTCTTTCTTGATGTTCTCTTACCAGTTGGTTTTTATTATGTCCACTGCCAGCAATGGACATCCCGCTTGGAAAATCCACCTCCTTCTGTGAAAGGTTTGGCTGAATCAAATGAAGAAAGTAATTCTGATATCAGACTCAAATGGGAACACATTATTTCATGTAGCTCTTGTTCAGAATATTTAAAAACCTTCTTCACCGACAGTATTTTTGAAACACAAGGCACAAATAGGGAGTGGACATTCCAGCAAAAGGTGATTGTCTGAAATTAATAGTCCACAGCAGTCTTCTAGTCCAGCACAATGAAAGATTTTTGCTGTCCAATTCTATGCCACGTCTTCTAGGTAATCTGCAACATCGCTTAACTGAGAAATGGTAAGGTCTTGTGTGATGCTTTCGAGCTAGAAAAATAAAATAGCAAACTCAGAAATCACAAAAACAGTAAGTATTATGTCATGTATTCCTTCATAAGCTTTCATATATCTTTTAGCCTCAAGCTCTTTCAGTGAGATTACACAATCCTTTAGCAGGTACTCAGATCTGGAGATACTGGGGTAAACCTTGGTATGTTGGGCACTGAGCCAGCTTGAAATACATTTTACACACCTAGAAAGGCCCAGTGAGCTGTGCTAATGAACAACTGTTGCAGGGTTTTTGTTTTGTTGGGATTTTGTTAATCAATATAGCATCTAACTTAGCAAGGATACTAGGTGTAAAAACCAGAATGTAACTAATAATGGACCTTAACATACAACCTAAGAACTAAGGATAATAGCATGTTACTTCACAACATAGAAAGTTGGAAACAAAGTCAAGAAAAGATCAGAAGAATATAAAAACCAACAATTCAAAAATAATCATACTTTATCACTGGCATTTGACTCTTCTGTTCCCACAGAAAGTTCATCTATTTCTTCACCAATACTGATGTCACTTTTTTCTGAGCGATGACTTGTACTAAAGAGAAAGGAAACCATAAGCACAGAAATAAGACTTCGTTATTAAACATCCAGGTATGATATTTACTTTATACCTGGCATTTGACTGGAGCTGCACTTCCTAGCAAGTCAGATGTGAAGTTACTTAAAACTTCATAACAACTAAAGGCTTTCTACCTAAACAAAGCCATAATAAATAGTAAGAAATACTTAGGCCTCCATCATGCAATTTAAAACACCAATACCTTCACATCATAAGCATGAGGTTATTAAATATTTGTTACCAACTACTCATGATGCCTTATTTTACAACTGAATATCTCAGCAAACAACATAATTATTGACTAACTGCATTAATTGCTAAAACATTATTAAGTGCACGGTTCAGGAAAAACACCAAACCTCTTCCAGAAAAAACCCAACATAGTACCATGCTGAAGTTAGCAACAGGTTTTTAAGGAACTCATTATCCCTATATAAAAAGATATATAGTTTGGTTGTTTTTTTAGCTGGTAACTAAATCTATTAAAATAGCAAGCTGAAGTTTAAAGGAGTTCAGAAATACCCAGTGATAGTGACTGTCTGCCATATTATGAAATGATTCAAATATGGATATGTTTATACTGCATAAAGTACTACCCTACTGAGGTATGATCTTCCTCTTACCTGTTGAAATCATCAGCATATTCATCATCATCTCCATTTCCTAAATAAGATTTAAAAGCTATTAATCAAACAAGTTTTCTCTTCAGGAAACACAAAACCCCCCAGTCTATTCCTGCACCAAAATACATGGTTTGATGACCAGCAAAAGTGGGAGTAGATTAAATTACTTACACTGATTAGGAAGAGTTATGTTTGCCATTATTTAATCTCAATATTATTAACATAAACTGTTTCAAAACTGAACATTAATTTTCAGGAAGTTAGCTGCATTGCTGAATACAAAACTTAAATACTTGACAGCTCTATTTTGAGAGAATTCTTCCATCACACCTTCTTCATATTGCACCAAAAGAAAGGTAACTTTCAAAGGTGTGGAGAGCCACTAAAAATGCCACTGAAAAGCAGTAATACCTACCAGGCTACCTTTTACCAAAAATATAAACCTGCTTTTTTCATAGAAATCTCAACAACAAAATTCATCACTTGGTATTAGCAAATGCATGCACACAATGAATGAAATTTTTGCTCCATGTGTAAAATATTAACCCACATGATACCAGATTTCACTTTTTTGGATTTCTTTAGATCACATCTTGCTTTTAACTATATTAAGCTTCACAATCTATGTTAAATAGAATAATGTGAGTTAAACTGAAGATTTTAGCTCAATATGTGCATTTGAGTTTCTCAGATTCCTTTAAGAAGCTGGGCCAGAATTTATCAGTTATGGCCAACCAAAAATATCAAAGCTTCCTCACGTTTAGCAGTTACTTGCCTAATTCTAGTGATCCCAGCTTTGCGTTCACCAACCGCAGGTCTTTTAAAACAGAGTTTCTATCCAAATCTGTAAACAAAAGCACTTATATCAGAAACTGGACTTGTCACTCATCAGTAAGATCCAACTTAACACATACAAACTAACAATTTATAACACCTGTTCTTTTCTATCAACCTTGTGTAGTTTTATAGTACAGTACAGCAATATCATGTTATATTTTCACAGCTGAACTCTGATAAGATTAAAAACTTGAGGAGTAAACAGGAATAATCTCCCACTACTCAGGGATTTACAACATGAAAGCAAACACCTCTAAAGAACTGGTACAAATAATTTAAGATAATACAAAGGAATAAGCCAATTTCAGTTTAAAACTGAGCAGTAGAATTATATACTCCTTTATATACAGACAAAAAAGGGATGTAGGTAAGTATTTCATGTTCCAAAGCATAAAATGCCCCAGTGGTACCACAACATATCCAAATCAGTATGCCACCACTAAGAAAGCACTACTGTAAAGCACATTACAACCAGAAGGGGGCCACATACTCTATCATTCTTCCATTACAGAAATAACTTCTACAATCATCAAAACACAAAGATATGAAAACTTACTATCAGAATCCTTTAGCAACGGTGCACCAGTCAGGGAGCTTAAGCCACTTTTTAGAGCTGGTGCATCAGAAAGGGATGCTAGACCTCCTGCTTTAGCCTCAGTTTTCCTGTAAAAACCAAAGAAATAAGTACTCCACTCCCAATAAGAGCTGTAAAATATGCATCGTTACTTTCTTTTCTGTTATTAAATTGTCAAAAAACTAAAATAGCAATACTACAGCAAAAAAGAGCAAGGAAAAAGGCCTATTCACTCTGCAACCTTAAAAGCAGTAGCAGCTCACCGGCACAAGTGTCAATCACAACACTGACTGAAAGCCACTTTCTCACCCATGCAAAGACTTCCGTCTGTCTTCTCCCACAGACAGAGCACCTTCATCAGCATCACTATTTATGTCTAGGGGCCTTTCATCATCCCCACATGTAAATGCAGCCAAAAGAAAAAATATTCAGACATAAATCAGTACTTCAGCTTGTTTTACATCTTAACGAGATCACATCTGATGAAGCTATTAAATGTAAGAGCAGTTAGTTCACAGAATGAAAACCTCTTTGTTATAGGAAGATAGATCTCACCACATGTTAAAGTTCATTTGGTACTACCTAGTTCAAAAGGATTTGAACTTGCAAATAAAGAATGAATAAACACAAATTAAAAGAGACCAAGATTTTCACATTAAGTATTGCCAGAATTTTTTGCTATTTTGATTCCATTCCTATTAATAATGGGCATCATTTAATCATTCATTATATCTAGATCACCAAAATATAATGTGTAACATTACACGTTAAAGTGCTTCAAAATTTTGAACAATGGGTCAGATGTAGAGATAATGAGTGCCTGGATCATCTCCCACACTGTCATTAGCAACTGCTTGCTCTGAACCCATCTTAAATGAACAGGCAAGATTTCCATAAGGAAATTACCTTTTTGCAAAGAAAGCAATGCTGGCAGCTGTCCTACTTATTTACCCCTTGGGACTCCAGCACAGCAGCACAAAGTACCACAAAGGGGATTCTACATGAAGAATATGGGGGGTTTTTTGCCCTCTAGAAGAGCTGTCAGGAAGGTAAAAATGAGCAATTCAGCACACACAGCTCAGCTACAAATTCTAGCTCATTTGTTGTTAACACATTCAGCATACCTTATTATGGGATGTAACTAGAATAGCTGCATCACAGTAACATTATGTGCTACAAAATACTACTTGTGGACTGTGACTCTACTACAGACAGACGTAATCTGGAAGCAATTTTTTCTGTAGGGCGTTTCTCTACTAGGAAAGAAAAAAACCTTACTTTAAATAATTAGTCTTGTCTTTTGATTGTCTTTTTTAAAAGAAATTTAGTTTACTCATTTTCAAAGAAAATTTCTCTTGCTGTCATATGAAAATGCTCAAAAAATAAGAAATTAGTAAATATTATTATGCAAAAGTTTTTGCAGATTTTTCTAATTTACCCAACTAATCATTTAGACTAGCTCCTACAATGTTAACTTTGGTTAAAGGCTAGCTAAACAAGCTCGCAAGTAAGGAGGAGTAAAAGCATTCAGATGCAGTTTTAATCTTGCTATTAACAATTAGAAAATAAATATTATAGTAGGGTTAGTTGTGACACACAATATTTTCCAGAGTACAGTCACTGCACTTTGAGGAAAAAAGTCTACTTCAACAAAAAACATCCAACAAAAACTGTATTATAAATGATGTTTCACAAAGAGTCCATTAATTTACTAGAGAGAAACCTGGTTTACCTGGCATGATTACTTTGTGCTCGACCACAAGGATCCTATTCTAAGACTAAGCATCTCCACAGCAGTAATACAAAAAAACTTATGCTGCTCTGCCCACTATCAGCATAGGAGGGGAAAGTCACCTGCCAAACCGACTTACAAATGATCCTGCAACCTCTTCCTAATGTCTGCTAAGCTGGAGCAATTCTCTGATTACTTAAGCACAGCAAAAGAACATCATGAAATGATCCTGCAGCATTGCTCAATACAGCGGTATCTAAGCTAAGCCTCAAAATAATTGAACCTGATAACACAAAAAATGAATTTTTCAGTTTTATAACAAAGGTGCTGTATAGTTCAGTCACTAGCTCTTGTTTCAAATGGCATTTTTCAGTCATTACACTCCACAGATGAACGATAAAAAAACGTCCTTAGCATGCATCTGCAAAATTGGCACACGCAGAAGTAACAACACTTCACTGAAAATATAAAAAGTGTTGCAATGCAAAGAGAAAATCCTCCACTCTAAGGAAACTTGCCTTATTATTACAGTCTGTGGAGCCTGTTTAGAGTGGTTTTTGTATTCCCTACAAAGCTGTATCAATATTTAATGCACTGTCCCTGTCATTGTCCACTTCCTTTAGTACAGATCACCACTGCAGGTCTGTTCCAAGAAGAAACACTGATGTCTGTGCATCACACATGTTCATTCCACCAAAGAAACAGGCTAGGGATATTGGAAACCCTAGCTGATGCACCTTAAAGTAATACAGGTTTTTCCACTCATACTACCTCCAAGAGATACCAGAGGACACTGTGCATAGAATAGAACAGAATCATGGAATAGAATAAAATGTGAAGCATGAGTATTTTGGAAACAAAATATTCCAGATCTGAACACTTACAAAATAATTAATCTAATAACTAACAGCTCTCAAAGGTCTGCAAGCATACAGAGGACAAAATAAACTATGTATTAAGGAGAACATCCACTTTACCTACCAGCTGAAAGTTCTTTCTGGTTTGGGTACAGGGTCATCAAAGAAAGAATCTCCCTCTACATCATCTTCATCCACAACTGGATCACTTTTTTCTTTGGTACTCAAGTCTTTGTTTTCTAGTTGAGGATCTAGTTTTGTTTCATTAGGCAAAAAATGAATACTTTTTTTGCTTGCTTCCCCTGATGAGATACTTGTATCACTCTGAGTGTTTTCAGCAGCCTTGAAAGATAAATACAGGAGTAAGTATTCATGTCATGTAATACTAATACTGTAGTGTATACATAAATGCGCAACACATAACATGCACCAAGCATCACTTCTTAAAATATTACCTGCAATTCCTGAAAATATAAGCAAGTTCATTAGTATCATCAATAACCATAAAAACATTAACTTCATAAAGTTTTATAACTTCACAAAGTTTTCTTTAGTGCTGCTGCCATTAAAACCTTTTGTTCCATTCTGTGCATTCCTATGCTATCTACATCACTTCTATTATAAAAGCAATTTTAAAATATCTTGGTTATCAAATAAAGAAATTACATACAGACAAATTCTTATGCTTTATTCATGTTATTTTGCAACATCTCTACAAACAAAGGTTCTTATTTATAGCCACTGTCTTCAAAAGAAATTAACTTAAACCCATGAAAACTACTCTAAATTTCATATTAAATGGTAATTTTTGCAATATAGTATCAGGTTTTAAAGTAATTAGCATAAGAAAACTGGATTTACTGACACGTTCTCTCAAATACTAAAACCAAAAATGACAAAAGTGAGACTTGAAAAGTACGTAATTTTCAGTTTTCTCCTCATGTTCATGGCTCAGTCCTAAAGTCTGGAGCATAAGGACAATTCCATGTGCAACCTTTCACATCAAGTCACACAACTCAAGTGTAACTTTGCATGGCTTTGTGGCCCAAACAACAATATTCTAATTTACCCAGAAAATCAAGGTGCTGAGAAAGAAAAATGTTTTTATATTATTACCTAGCAAGGAGTACTGCTATTTTTATTTTCTCCTAGACTTATTAAATTTAAGCCAGTGAAAGATTTATTACATTAGCTTCCTTTCTACAAATGAAGAGCAGCACAGTTTTGAAATAAAACAAAAAGTATTATTTAATCCAGATAGCCAATATGTATGCAGGTTGTACTGCCTGAAGTATTTTTTATTAGTCATTAACTTTTTGTTCAGAAGGCTGAAGCCAAATTTTCAAGGCCATGAAAGTTAAAATCACCTTGGGTAGGACTTCTTCATACCAAGGCTGTTTTATCTCAGTCACAGAACCACATTCAATCGCTGGCAGTAGCTCAGTTTTTCTAGGGCAGGAAAAAGTACTTAAACCCACAAGTGGTAATAATAAAAATATTTTGATTTCTTATCCAGAGGAACTGAATTGTTTTTGAAAATTAAGAGCTTGATGATAGCCTGGCTACAATAAAAGGGAAGTTACAGCTACTTTTCTGTTTTGGGGCCTGTACTATGTCATGCCAGCAAAGTATAAGCACAAAAGTTCATATTTGCTTGGAATCATAGTTGAAAGTTTTGTTGAGTGGAATAAATATATTCAAATTGCAGATCATTTAAGTGAATGCTGCAGTTTCATTGGAGTCACATGCTGTCATATCTGCAGTTTCATAGGAGTTCTCTCTTTTACTCATCTCACATATGTTACAAAGCTTTTTATTATGTATAGTCTTACCTTATTTGGTATAGAGTATGCACTTGACTGTCCATCAGATGATTTTGATGTGGGGCACTGGCTGTCACTTAGAACTGGTGCCACCTAAGAAGTTTCAAATAAGCACTTACTAAAACTTATATTTAATTTTGTAATAACTGGAACTGCTGAGGTTGCATCTCAACTACTGCATTCAGTTTTGGGCCCCTCCCATTAGAAAAGATATTGAGGTGCTGGAACATGTCCAGAGAAGGGCAATAAGACTCATGAAGAAACTAGAAAGCATGTCCTAAAAGGAACAGTTGAGGCAGCTGGTCTAAACAAGAGGAGGCTCAGGGGGCAGGTAGAGATGGGGACCAGACTCCTCTACCGTGCCTGCAGTGAGAGGTCTAGAGGAAATGGCCTTAAGATCAGACAGGGGAGAATCAGATTATATGTTAGAAAAAAATGTTCCACAGTTACAGTGGTCAGGCACTGGAACAGGTTACCCAGAGGGGTGGTGGAGTCACCACCCTTGGAAGTGTTCAAGAGGCATCTGGATCTGGTGCAGGGTTCTGAGGGTCAGGGGTTACAGTGATGGTGATGCTGGTACTTGAACTGGACAATCTTTCAATCTCAATGATTCTCTGCTCCTATGATAATTGCATCCAACAAGAAACAAGGCTACCCCCCCTCACTTGGACAGTATGCAAACCTTGACACTGGGAAGAGAGCTGAGGGTAGTACAAGAGAAGATTGGGAAGTTATAGTCACACACAGTATGGAAATCACAGAGTTAGGAGATCCAGGAGGGGCTCTCCCTTCTTAATTGCACTATGGGATTTGACTCCAATACACTGCTGGCACATGTACCTCAGCAAGCCATTCAAACACCCTCCAATAGAATGGACTGCTCAGTGGAGTCCCCATAGCAGGACACGGACAGACTGGCAGGCACAAGGGTCTTGGCTTTCCTAGGGCATTCCCAGACAAATCAAACACCAGGAAATACAAAGGTTCAAGGAAATCCTGCTTTCATGTGACAGAAAATTGCTATGTTAAGAAGTCTATGACAACTACCCCTGAATTTAAGCTTTCTTTGGGACACTGAATACATCCTGGGTGCAGAGAACTTTTTTTCAAGTCACAATCAAATGCTATTGGTTGGGTTTAATTCACCTAATCAACATATTTATTATCTATTCCATTCAAATACTACTGTCATTGCCTTCAAATAGTTCAATACTTTGATGCATTTAATTTTAAGTACGTAAGTTTTCAGTAGAGCTTTAAAGCTTCTGACAAAATTAATTCAAGGCTTTTCAGGTCATATTAAAATTATAAGTATGCCAAGGAAAACAGGTATAGATAAAAGTGTTATCAAACCACACCAGAAATGAGAAAATAAGTGACAGAGAGTTTTGTGTCATTTATCTAGATTCACTCTGTGCTACTATGCTGTAGTAGAATATTAACAAAGAGCCCTTGGGTGGTATTAAAAGTAATAGTCATAAAGTTTCTCTTGTCTGTCTGATTAAGTTGAAGGCATAATATAATAAAGACCTGAAAGAGTATAATAGTACAACAGCCAAGTAATTTATTTTTCATCATTAAAAAAAAAATAAACAACTATAAGAAAGAAATTTCTATTTAGTATTACTTACTTCTCCACCACCTGAAGTCTTCTTCTGCTGACACTTCCTAACAACCTCCAGCAACAGGGGACCACCCACAGTACCTTCTGCTTCCATAATTCCCAAATCTCGAGCTAAGTTTTCTCGACCATCAAGGCCATTTAGCTGGGGAGACAACAAAAGAAACAAGAATCACAACATCGAAATAACTCAGAAAACAAAAGATAAATTTTGTAATACAAAAAAGTCTTATTTAACACAGCTCCACCTGAACTAAACAGTGAAATGGACACATTTACTGGAAAACAGAAGGGGGTATTTCAAAGCACATAATATGCCTTTACAATGCAAATAAAGCACTGCCCCCAAGAGTGGGTGGCAACACAACACAGTGTGGCTGTTTTTATTTGTTTCTATTTGGTAGCATGAACGTGAATCTTTGCACAGATGTGTTCTAGTAATAGCTTAGTAACTAATTTGGCTAAGGATATTTGGCAAAGAACAAAGTTGTATGGGATTTTCTTTGAATAAGGCCCTAAAAAGAAACATGAATTTCTGAGAAACAGAAGTCAACCAACTGATTGATTTGAAAAAACTGCATTTTTAATATATTAACTATTTAAACCAACTTCAAAAAAAAAAAAAGTACTTCAGAAATAATGAGAAATTCTGCAGTGAAATGAAACTGCCTCAAACACAAAATTACTATTAAAACCTTTATATCATAAAAGGCGACAAAGATTATGAAAACCATCTAATTCAGTACTAAAGCCTTAAAGCAGTTAGTTGGGCCACAAAATCACTGTAGGTCCTTCCCAACTGAACTATTCTATTCAATCACTTTTTGTCAAGTATATCTGCACAAAGTCCTTTGTGTCACTGGATTTCTTTCAGAGCAGATGACTGACATTTTAGTTTTCATGTAACAATACTAATTTAATATTATGACATGGCAAAGTAAGTGGTAAAAAATGTTGCAGGCGTATGAAGGATTCATTTACCATTATATGATTCCACAAAAATTATCAGCTTGTTAATTCAAAATTAAATTACTATCTTGCATTGATTTTGATAAAGAGAAATATTAACATTAGCCCACTTTCCTGAAAAATGTATTTTCATGACACTAAAGCACCTATTACAGACAAAACATAAAAACAACATTTTTAATAAAAACAAATAAGTGGTTTAAATAAATCTGCCATAGCTTCAGCATTCATTGCCATGCACTTCAAACAGTGAGCACTGCATACAAACAAACAAATCAACAATTACCGTGCTTGATTCAGGCTGAAAAACAGCTAAAGTAAAATCAAGATTGAAAAAACGTAGAAATTCTGCAACAAGACCTGCTACCAAGCGACCTAAAAAGAAAATAAGAGTTAAAATACACCAGAGACAGAAACAAATCAAATTCCAAAGATTTAACACCAGCACACATGGCTTCTGTATGGACATAGTTTAGACATGCAGCAAACTATCACCTCATAACAAGCTTGTGTATGAACTCCCTCATTTTGAATTGGTCATCATATAAAAATCATTTAAGCCAGTAATACTGCAAGAGCTTTACAGACTGCTTACAAAATTTACGTGCAGCATTTTTCTAAACTATTCAGCTGTTTTAAAAACATAATTTTGACACTTGTCACATACGTGCATTTACTCCTGCACCTCTACTCTTAGTTTTCGCTGGTTTCTGTTTCTATTGGTCTAGAATGTCTCTGACCATAAGGCATTGTGAAATATTAACTTCAATGCCTTAATCACATTAATTAATGTATAACTTCAGCAAGATTAACTTTAAAAATTATAGATTTAATTCTATTCTGAACAAGTAGCAATTAGGACATGTGAAAGGAACAAAAGCATACTTAGTGTAATGGAGACTGCACTATTAATAAGAGTCAAAGATTTAATCCTTTGTCTCCTATTTTTATTATCAGAAGTATATACTAAACAAAGAACTTACCATCCTTTGTACCTAAAAAACTTTTCAAGCTTTCATTTACCAGAGGTGCTTTGTTCTGTGAAAAAGCAAAAACCAAACAGCAATTAACATCGTCTACATGCTAGCAAGAAACTGAAAACCACAGCAAACTAATGTTTGGGTGTACTCTGCTGCACAGTGATGCCCTGCCCATGTAATCCACTTCTTAAAAATCTACCTTTGTATGAATTCTATAACTACAAGTAAAAGTTATGTAGCAATAAATTTGTTGAGGCAAATTAAATTTGTCTTGGAGCTAAAGTAATTCCACCAAAATTCTTAATAGCAAACTGATTTTCATTTATCTAGTAAAGACTGAAGAGGTAAGCTAAGCAGCTAACTTCCCATGTTCCTCCTCTAATACAGTGAGAAGTTTAAGGCAATTCAGTCCAGCCTTTTAAAAACTAGAATTTTACAAATCTTCCAGACGAAGTGTGGACGATGCTAATTATTAGAACACAAATCAATACTAATCATCTATTAATTAAAACACCTTCAAAGATATTATGAAAAATGCTTTTTTCTCCCTTGTTAGATTTGCCCTCTTCAATTTTTAAACAGAAATAAATCAATATACTATGTCTGGGTTCGTCAAAATCATTCCAGGATTTTTCAAAACAAATTCTAAATGCCATTCCTAAGATGGAATGGGTATCCTGGGTAAGAAAAGGATCAGTTATAGGTATTTATAACTACAGTTGCAAATGCTAATACACAAGAAAGTGCTATCTGAAAAAAGGAAATATTGCTTAATATTTGAGAATTCAGAGTCATGGTGAGTATTAATATATCACCAGTATTAGCAGTGTAAATTTAAAATATCATGATACTTTTGAGCTTTTTGAGAAATGCTGAGCTGAAATGTACTGTAGCAAATCTCTCTTCACGTTACTTGAACTATTGCTATTACTCTCCAGGTAGTGTGGGAGGTTGTTCTCTGGGTGCTCTATAATATCCTGAAGCTGCCCATAAAGAGATGGCACTGTTCTTCGACATTACTGTTCCACCACATCTTCTTCAGCTATCTTATGTTAAATTTCTGGAATATGGAATCTCATGTCATAGAATAACTACTTCCCATCCGTACTAACATCCTAATATTGTCTGTTTCAGTAAGCATTTCTTCAGAAAGAGCTCAACCATCTAACCAGCAGAGGAATAGAACATTCCTCTCCTTTTGAAGCAAAGAGGCTGGACATAGAGCACTCTCTACTCCCAATTCTAGAAATTGGAAAGACAGAGAAAATGAAGCAAAGTCAGCAGTAGGAGAGGTCACAAAACTGGTATCTATATACCACAGCAGTACTCTTATGCAACCATGGATCAGTATCTCATTCCCTTAATATTAATGTATTGCAGAAGTGTCAGTACATAGTCCATCTCTTTATTAAGAATTCATCCTTAAGTATTAAAGCAAATTATCCTGAAGCAAGCCTACAACATCCTTATGGGAAACACCATAAGCATTAGCATACTTGGCATTTTACTGGACTAAACTGCTTTTAAAATACTTGTCAAAACACCCCAGTAAAATATTTTCAATTTCAAAAGAAATTATTCTGATTTGATAAAATCTTGATCAGTCAAGCAGATATCTTTTTTTTAAATACATATTTGATGGAGAAAACATTTAGCTATTCTGGTCAACTGGACAGAAGCCATATAAACTCAGCAGATACAGACACTTAAAATTATAATTTCAAAAGGGTATTTAACAATTCCTATTTTTAAACATCAGGAAACACCCTGATAGTCCTGTTTTGAGTTCTTTATACATCTTATGCAGAAATACATCTTTTTATCTTGTTATATTTTACAAATAGAAAGCATTAAAGCTATTATATTTAATTCTACACAAAGGATGTTTTTTCTTTCTGATTTGTTTTTAAGGTTCTCTTACCTCTACTTTCTCTTGTTCTTCTAAAGCCAAAAACACAGCTGCCCGTAACTCTGCCTGCCAAACAAAAACCAAAACAAACAGCATTTCTACAAGCACTTTTTTCCTAAGCAAATAGGATGCAAAGAGCTAGCAAGTAGCTTTATAGCTATTTGTTTCTCCTCAAGCAACTTGGCATGGACTGTAATCTATATCAGTGCAATTAAAACACTTATGATTACAGGCAACGTTACTTGAGGCAGAGAAATAATAGTTTCCACTCTGAGAACAAGGCAGGGGCCAGCATAATTTGATACAAGACATCCTAAATTATTTCTTTGTACATAAAAAGATTCCAAAGTACCTAAATTATCTTGTATTAGTTTCTTTGACAGTTAAACATCCATCTCTTTCAGGCAGCTCCAAAACACCTACTCTTCATTTACAATTCACTTGGGAAATATGAACAAATAGGCCATAATAACCTGTTAAAAACTAAACATTAAAATATACAGATTGCTATGATTTCTTGTCAGATTACACCCAAAATCCCAGAATTTCTAAAGGAAAAGAACATGATCACAGTCATTCAAATACTCCTGGTAGTAATGGTTTACCTACCTGATTCTAAATGTATTATAATAAAGAATCAGAATTCTTCTAAGGACTACTTTAAATATTGAAGCTTAAACCTTGCCTACTTTTTAAAATTTTTTGTTAAGCCCTACAATTCTTCTACTTTGAATGAACATGTCAAATGGACAGCATACATTTGATGAATTAGTCTGCCACTTTAATCAACTCTTAATCTTGACATTTTGAAGTAAGTCAGTAGATAACACTGCAGTAATAAACTAGAAAAGACAGCATATTAAACTTTTCACCACAGCAAGAAAAAATACCAGAATTTAAAAGAAAGATTTCTTTACATAACTAAGAATAAGACCAATACAAAGAATGTCTGGACTTCCTCATATATATTACAAGAGGTAACTAAACATGAAGTAACTGGTCCCACCCACCAAAAAAATAAAACCAAAAGGAAATGCCCACCCATAAAAAACCCAAAGCAAAAAACCCCAAACCCCACCAAACAAAAAACCAACCCACCCAAAAAATCCAAACCCAAACACCTCTCATGGGAAAAACAAACACTTCTTTCTTAAGGAAACTCCTCATTGGACAGTTTATTGAAAGACAAAAAATAATGCAAAAAAGCTAAAAGGATTTCCCACCAAAAGAGGAGTAAAACACTAACAACAATATGCAATGTCATACTGACACTGCAATCACATTTTTTCAGTTGCTGGGATTTTCAATCAGAAAATCCTCTTATATGTAATTAACTTATTATTCTTACCTTTTTTTCAGGTGTTGTCAATCAGTGAGACCCTTTACACACCCCATTAACTTCAATATTACTCTTACAAAATCAGTTTTCATCTACCTTTTCAACCAACAGCTAACAACTTGTTTATTTAGTCTTACCTCACTAAGACAAACCTGAAAGCAAGGCTCTCTTTGTCACTTAGGCCACAGAAACCAAATATATTTACATAAGAGGATAATAAAAATAACAAAGCTTTCCTGACTGGCTGTTACAACCGTTCAAAATACAACACAGCAGTCAATGCATGTGGGTAGGGGTAAACCCCCCTAAGGGTCTGGATCATGGGACTGGAGAATTAAGTTGTCTGAACATAGTTGCCAGTACATCAGCTAATCCAAAGTCTGACCTGTTGTAAAACTCTGGAACAATACCAAACTGTCACTTTTTTTTTGGTTAATTGGGATTGTTTGCCTGCTCCACTTGTCTAGGTCCAATCCACTGGCTTTTAATTACTTCCATACTATCCCCACAAGGGAAGTTTACACCACTACTACAACACACTGACCTTCATCCTTTGTGGTGGGTACTGGTCAGAACATAGCACAATACTCTCAAAATATCACCTCAATAAATTTAGACTAAGAACTACACACTAGAATTTGTGCAAAGTTAAAGCAGTAATGCTCAACTTCACACAGAAGAAAGTAAAAAGCAACAATAACAAAGCTGAGGCCAAAGCAATAATCACCATACTACAAGATGAATCATACTACACCAGTAGGATGGACAATGTCATATAGGCTTTTCAGGACCTGAGGCCCGTCATAGAGAATTTGAACACCAGAGACTAAGATCACCATCATCGGGTACAGCCACAGCAATTTGCTCCCACCAGCAGATAGGAAAGTTATAGCTACACAGATGAACACTGTAAGTGGATTAATCTCACACCTCTTTTGTTTTTAATTGGTATGAACAGATTGCATTTCTCTTTGCCCTAGTACCCTTTGGCACAAGCCCAATACTTGTCTCATACATTGTTACAATCAACTCTTGTCATTTTCATCATTTCACCATTCCACACTGCTTCATTCTGCTAGCAGTATTCAACACAATCCAAATAACATTCTGAAGAATTTTGTTCACCATCTAGTAGTAAAACAGACCAAAGCCTGATATTCTAATTCCCCGTCCATATTCTAAGTCCTCAATAAACAGGATTATGTCAACAGAGACAGATGTTGATGACTAAGAGTCTATCACTTCTACATCCATCAAGCCTACAGACTTCTCTCTAATACTGTGAAAGACACCCATTCTCTTCTATCCCTAAGAAGTTTTATCAGGCAAGAGCTTGTGTCAATGAAACAGCCATTTGGTCTCACTGAACTTGGCTAAAACAAGTAAAGCTATCGTTGTATATGACAAATACTGTCTGTGTTAGAGAAATGGATGGGTCAGTGTTTTGAAACAAAATTAAATTTCCCCTTTTCCTTCCAGGCATTTACAGCTCATCAGACAACATTGGTTTTTTACTGATTGCTACTGTACTATAAATCAGAAATTGAAGTCCATGAAAAAAAGCATGTTTTCTGCACTGAGCTACAGTATCCCTCTTTAGAACCTGGGTAAATTTACCGTATTCCAAATAGAGACCCTTTTGCAGGCACCCTAAGCACTGTCCATGAAAAGAAGCTCCCTCAATCTGCAGCTCCCTGGAAAAGAGGGTAACAGCTCTTACTCCCTCAAGAGTTCCCCAAACACACTTTTTACGTGGCATCTCAAAAAACGCCTTTTTAATTTGGAAATATGCTTTTAATTTGGAAACAGCAGATATTGGATGAAAAGTGAAAGGATAAGACAGAGACCATCCAGGACTGAGTAATTACCTGTAACCACCTTCCCCTTGCACACTCCAATATGTATAACATTTAGCAAGTCTATGGAGTTTCTAGTTGGTCTTTTGGGGGGGTTTGGTTTTTTTTGTAGTATTTGTCTTGGATTGTGCCAGAATAGATTTGTCCAGGACTTAAACAAGAGATCTGATTTTCCTAAGACAAAACTTGAGACAATATTTTCCAGCAGGAAAATACTTGTAAACTTCAAACGCATTCCTACATCTCAAAGCACTTAGGCACATCAGTGGCCAAGATTATTTCTTATAATAAGGAAAAACTATGGCTTGCTCCTTGCATTTTGTCTCCTTTGTACAGCCACACAATTCACCTTCAATCCCAATATCCCAACATCTTCCAAAGAGACCTCATCAAAAGATTTTTTCCTATCAAACTTTACCCATATTTTCTGTGGCTGAGGCAATATTTCCTATTGCTGGGGCAATACTTCATATGAATGAGCAATGGTTTCCCACCACTGATCTCCAAATGTTGTGGAATACTAGGTAAAAAAGTGAGAACTTTATCTTCATAAACTGCTTTGTACCTATAGCACAGCTGAGTAGGACATTGTCTGCTAGCTAACAGAGCCTTGCTGTCTGCTTCATTCATCTCTCAACATTTCTACAAACCCTTGGAGTTCTGCAGCTTTTGCAGAGGAAGTTCTGGGCTTCTTTTTTCATCCAAGACTCATTAGCAGAAACCATAATATAAATTTCAGCCTGTCAAACAAACGCATATGCTACCACTCTTCTCAACCCACTTCAACAAGCTGAACACAATTTTTGAAGCCATACAGGCAAGGGTTGTGCATTTCCTAAGAAACAAGGGGTAGGCAAGTTCAGCAAGTGCCAAGCAGATCCCACTTTAGGGATCTGCTAAAGGTGGGCCAGTTGGAGGTGCAAAATCTCCTGCAAGCTTGCACTCACAAGATGTCCATCAGAGGATGGTGTGGCTAAATGTGTGGTTTAGGGAAGTGAAATGATTAAAATAATGTACAAGATTTCTCAAAGACCTTTCAGCTAAAGCACAGGAACGTGTAACCACCATCTGCTCCAGCACTGTGGAACAGCCCCATGTAAGCCCAAAGCATAAACAATCTCTTGCACTTGTAAAATTTGGTATGGCACATGGGCACCGTTCTGCACAACTTTCAGTGTCTGCACTTCCTAACTCCAAAACAACTGCCATACCCCTTGGTAGATAGAGAGCAGATGCTCTGCTCTGGAAACAGACATGGCAGAACACTGACCTGTTTACCTGCTGGTGATCAACCCAGGCTAAACCTCTGTGTGCACCACAATAAACACCTCTCCCAGTCTGCATGCATCACAAATCCAAGGCTGGTGTAAACCATAACCAGGAACATCTCTACCACCATTACTCAGTAATACCCTCCCTGTAATTAACATCTGCAAAATCTGTAAAGATTCTCATCCTTGAGCATTTGGTGGCTATGCTCTCCCCCACTGTCTGCCAGAGGACTGGGGGACTGATTGTGCACACATAATCCTCTAGACATGAACAAACCAAGTCCTGGACTAGCAGTAGAACCACTCATACTTAGACTCCTCCCTGAGAATATGATGAGGACCATAATGACATTTAAATGTTAAATTTCAGTTAGTTTATTTGAAATTAAAAATGGTTCTATTTCACTTGGCTTATAAAACTAAAAAGAAATAGATATTAGGTTGGCTTTCTGGTATGAAGTGCTCCATAACAAACAACACACCACAATATGCAGAAAACAGGAGGTTACACTGCAGTGCACAGCATGCTCATCGTGACAGTTAATAATTGTAAGACATTTAAAAGCACTATTCATTACTGTACATGGATCGAAGATGCAAAAGCAAACAGGAGCATGTGCGCATGCTCATAGTAAAAAATTGCACTTTTATCCCTCTAACATCACAGCACTTGCCTCAGTGTGTCACAGGTTTTTAAGCAAATTAGTAAGAACTTAGCAGTACCACCTGGCCAAAAGCTTGACTAGGCATGTGACATCAGTGATGCTAACCCTCCTCACATAACTGTAGCAACAGTATATTCCAGAAAAGATGCAAAATTCAGGTAATATACACTTAAATTATTCCAAATCAAGAGATTAAAATATATCAACCAAAACAAAAGAGGATAACAAAGAAACACACAGAAGCATAATGGCTCCTCTTGCTCAGATGATGACAGCCTCCCTAGGAGAAAGATCACATTCTCTTCAAGACAGAACACCCCTATTTGTACACTATCACACAGAAACGGCGATAATTTTCACTGAAATACAAATATCTACAGTTACATTGTGTGTTTACAGAATTCATTTGAAAGCTGTTTCATTCATCAGACTAATTGCAATAATCAACAAACTATATACAGTATACATCTGTACTATGTACATATATTAATGTGTGTGTAAACATATACACACATATTGCATTTTAGAGAGTACAGGAAATTCTCAACTGCAAGCAGTAAATACATTTATACAACTTCCAGTTTTTGTATTACTTTATTAATTACTGCAGTGCTCAAACTTTAGGACAAATGTAAAAATTATGAACAAGTTTTTAAAATGTCATAAGTACATTTTTTCAGCTAAATAATTTACATCAACACCAATGCACCCAAGAAATTAATCCCAAAATAAGAATAAACTAATAAACTGCAAGCCATTATAGAATTGTCTCTTATTACAGAATTAAATTATGACAGTAAGTTTCTTTCTAAAAATTACTGTCATTATGTTACAAAACGTGACACCCTGATACATTTCATCCACTGAAATAATTCCCCTTGAATTCTAACCCTTCCAATGCCTCATACCAATGCAGCTATGCATTGACCACATATTTTTCTCCTTAATGTAGCTACTTCAATAAATCACAAATACTTCATTGTAGCTTTCTAGCCTCATCCATCTTGAAAAATGGTCAGTTCTCATTCTAAAGTATGAAACAAGCATCATTTTTGATAATATTTAAATTTTCAGTCCTACCACATAACAAAAAAAAAAAATACTGACTAGATAAAAGGATGACTGCAACTTTTTTTAATGGATGGTATAATCTAATTTCAATTAAAAGATGACAGTTTAAAAAGCCTTGTTCAATCTTAATTTTTCCAGCAACAGGGTTTTGTCAAGTAACAAAAGAACAAAATCTCTAAGTCATTAACACTGCCAAACAACACTCAAACTCACATGCCAATTAAGGTTTACAGCTAAGAAAAAAAATCACCACGAGTTCTTCCAGTCAAAAGCCTCAGCCATAAGCATACCAGTTATTAAACAGTAACACCTGGTATTAAGGAGAGACATAATCTGGCAAGAAAGCTGCATTTTGTATTTTTCTAAGTCATTTGCTAATTTGCCATAACAGCAAAAACTTGCACAGTATTGGATACTGCACACTCTAAGCATTATAGAATAGTGAACTACAATACATTGACTCACATAAAACTCAATGGACTGGCAACCATAGCATGAAATTTTACTTACTACACAAAGGTAGGAATTCAGAAATTTCTGTTCACAAGCTTAAGGTGACCCAATTGCCTTTCCATGCTTTTTTAAATTACAATTTTACTATGACCATACTTGCATTGTTCAATAGTAGGCGAGTGGTTAACAGCTAGGTCTATCTGACATCCATTAGAAAAGCCTCACTACTCAGAACACAGTTATTCAAGCTAGCATCATCATTCTCTTACAGAACTTAAATAAGGATCATCCATTTGAAAGGGATGAATAATGTGGTTTTGAATATTATTTTGCTGAAAAGTCTGACTAGTTCAAAATACAGTAAACTTGAAAGTAAACACACAAAGATGCTGTCACTTCCTTAAACCACTTCACTTGCTAAACTGTTCTTGAAATATCAGCAATGACCATACATCTCCGGAGACCTAAAACAGCACCGTGGATAAACACCACCATCTGAAAGCTACACTTCATTTCTCCTCCAGCCTTGAAGGAAACTTGCTCTCTATTATACACAATAACTATTCCTAGAAGCTTTTAATTTGAACAAGAATCCACGGAACCAATTTTCCTACCTTTTCTGACATAAGCTCAGGCTGCATCACAGACTCAGTAGTAGCGTACACTCCACTATCTCCCGTATATTTTCTTAACATAGCGCTATTTGTTCCCTGTGAGCAGGCAGCATCCCCCGAGAGTTTCCAGACTTAGCAAGCCTTCAAGGCACAACTGAAGCAACCCACACTCAAGAAGAACAAGTGCTTAAATAGCGACCCACAACTCCCACAATTTCCCCGCTTGAAATTTTCAGTAAGGGCTTCCCCTATCGAAGCGGGGATTAACTTCACCCACCCCGTCCCGCACCACGCTGCTGCCCATTGCTTCCAGCCAATCTGCGGCAACAGGGGAGCTCCCGCGGCCACTCGCTACCGGAGAGCGAACGCGCACAGCCGGGGCCGGGCTCCCCATGCTCCGCTCGCCCTGCCCGGCCGGCGGATCCCGAATTCCCGCGGCCGCGGGGCAGCGCCGCGCCACACTCAGGCCCCGGGCCCTCGCACCAGCTCCACCACGAGCAGCCGGGGAACACCACGGGGAAAGCAGGCGCCACCACCAGGCCGCGACGCCGGGGGAGCGCTCCAGCCGGGAACACCGGCTGCAAACGGGAGTGAGCGGGGACGATACACGGCAAGTCTCGGTCCTCCCACACTCCGCAGGGCCGCGAAGCGCCGCCAGCGCCAGCCAAGGCTCCCCGCCGGCGAGAGGCTCTTCTCGGCCCACCTTAATCTTATTGAGCACCCCGCTGCTCTCCAGCGTCTGCACCAGCAGGTCCCGCAGCTCCGTGTCCTCCTCCGTCGCCGCGGCCGCCATCTTGCTTCTCCCTGACAACCGCCCAAACCGCGCTAGCGGCGGGACCGGCCCGGCAGATTCGCCGCCGCCGGAGGCACAAGCCCAGGGCGGACCCGAGGGAACGGAGCGGACCGGGACAGTGGCCGCCCTCGGCACCACCCCGAGAGGGGACGCAGAGAGGCCGCGGCCACCCGGCGCTTTCGCCGCCCGCTGGCGGCCACCTGGAAACTGCGGCGGCGAACGGGCAGCGCGGGCGGCGGCGGGAAGTTCAAAGCAGGGGGGCGGTAACGGCTGAACGGCGCGGCCGCCCGCGCCCGCTGGCGGCCCCTCAGACGCGCCCGGTGTGCCCCCCTTTCTCCCGCCACGCTCCAAAGCGAACAGTCGTACGAGGAGCGGCTGAGCCTATTTGGCGTGTTCAGCCTGGAGGAGACTGAGAGGAGATGTCAACACAGTCTACAACTTCCTCGTGAGGGGAAGCAGAGAGGCATGCAGCAATTTCTTTCTGGTGATGGGAGACAAGACCCAAAGGAATGGCATGAAGCTGAGGTTTAGGTTAGATATTAGGAAAATGTTTTCATCCAGAGAGTGGTTGGGCACTGGAGCAGGTCCCCTGGAAGTGGTCACAGCATCGAACCGGTCAAAGCTCAAGAAGCGCTTGGACAGCTCCGACACCTGGCAGCTGCTCTGTGTCCGGGCTGAGGGGTGAACAGCCCCGATCCAGGGCCACGCTCCACCCAGCAGCTCCTGACGGCAGAGCGGGCTCCGGGAAAGGTCTCACCCGCCTGCACTGCTGCTCGCAAGGGCACCTGACGCTGAGCAGCACCAAGAGGCGCTTCTAGAGCCCCCGTTTAATAACAAGCAAGTTCTTTGTTGCTCCTTAAAACAAAAATAATAAAGCTTTGTAAACTGTAATGCTTTCTCTGCAGAACTACACGTGGCTTTTTTTTTCCCATGCTTATGATTTTTCCTGAAGAAAACTCTAATATATGAAAAATAATTTCCTAAGTTCGGAATACTCCAAGGGAGCACATACGGCCCCTGGGAGAAGCAGGTAAGGCCGGTTTTAAAACACGGGGTCCACTGACTGTTCAGAGACGCTCTAAAGACTTGGCCAGGCCTGTGAGGACAGGTGTCCATCCATCCTACGTCTGCTGAACACATGAGAGATACTGCTGATGACCTACACCCCTCCGGGATTTTGTCCCCCTACATTTGCAACAGCTGTGAGGTTACTTTTAGCATGTTTTGGTCCTTTGCACTGCACATTATTGCCTCCCAGACCATTTTCTTGTAGTCACTCAGTCTCCCCATTTTCTGTTTTTTCTGGGGATTTTTTCAATTGCATTTCATTTGATTATATCTCCTTTCCAGAGTGTTTGGAAGCCTTTCTTTTCTGTTTCACAACATGTCATTTCCCTTTCCAAAAGGAAATTTCATTTCATCAATTTTTGCAAGTTTGGGAAGACTCAACTTGGAGGGGAAGAAATGAGGCATATGGCATGGATACTTAAAAAAAAAAAAAAAAAAAGAAAAGACAAAATCTTCACCAAAGTCCAAAGTGAAAGCCATCAAAAGGCATGGCATGCCATGGCATGCCATCAAGTGCAGGAACATGCACAAAAGCTTGCCAAAATTGATCCCCAGGGAAATCGCAAGATTTCATTCCCTTTCAGGAAGGGAAACAAAATCTTTCAAAATGGAAAGGAAAGGCTTGCAAACACTCTGGAAAGGAGATATGATCAAATGAAATGCAATTGAAAAAATCCCAAAAAAAGAGGAAATCAGGAGATTTAGTAACTGCAAGAAAATGGTCTGGGAAGAAATCAGGTGCAGCACAAAGGACCAAAACATACCAAAAGGAACCTCACAGCTGTTGCAAAAGCAGGGGGGGAAAGTCCAGAAGGAAGACACACGTTGGAAAGGAAGAGATAAGGAACATGGCATAGATATTTAAAAACAAAAAGAAAAAAAAAAGAAAAAAAAGATCACCACCAAAGTGAAAGCCATCAAAAGGCGTGGCATACTATCAAGTGCAGGGACTCAGACCAAAGCCTGCAAAAATTGATCCCTATTGAAGTCCTGGAAAGAGAAAGGAAGGACTTACAAACACTCTGGAACAGAAATACCATCCAAGGAAATGGAATTGAAGAGAAAAAAAAAAAAAAACCCTTGGGAAATTTAGCAACTACAAAAAAATGGACTAGGATTTCAGCAGGTGTAGTGCAAAGGACCAAAACATGCCAAAAGTAACCAAAAAAGTCAAGGAGGAAAACACAACTTGGAAGGGATGTTGTCATCTTACTGCAGGAGTTCCACATTGTTGGCTCCTTACTGCAAAAGTTTCATACCTTCTTGGTGTTTCTTGTGGGCTTCTCCTGAGAGCACTAACTCCTTCTTCTTTATAAAGTAGCTAACTGACTCCTTTTAGTGTGTCAACTAGCCACCCTTTTATAGTACTCTGCTTCTCATTGGTTACAGCTGTGGCCTGTTAAATTCAGGCCTGTTCCCAATCTTTGATAATAGGCCCAGCTACAACTCCTTACAGGTAAGATTTCTTTCTACGCCATCTTTATTTTCTTATATTCTATCCCCCAACAAGAGGAAGAGATGAGTGACATAGCACAGATACTTGAAAAAAAACAAAACAAAAAACCCCCCGAGAAACAAGTAAAGAGAGAAAGTCTTCACAAAAGTGAAAGCATCAAAAGGCAAGGCCTGGCATGCCATCAAGTGCAGGGACACAGCCCAAAGCTTGCCAAAATTGATCCCCATTGAAATCGCAAGATTTCATTTCCCCGTAGAGGAACATAATATAAGCAAATAAAGGTAGTATAGAAAGTAATTGTACCCCTAAAGAGTTGCAGCTGGGCTAATTATTAAAGATTAGGAGCAGGCCTGACTTTAACAGGCCACAGCTGTAGCCAATAATAAGAAGAGTGCTATAAAAGAGTGGGTTGGTTGGTTGAGGGGAACCGGAGTCAGTTGGCTGCTGTGAGGACAAGGAAGAGCCAGTGCTTAGGGGAGCTGCCCTCAAAAAAACATCAAGAAGGTATGAAACTCTGGCAATATGGAACCCTTGCAATGTAATGATAATAGAACTCTTGCACTATAATGACAACGTTTCCCTTCCCAAAAGGGGGGAGGGAGACCAATGGGGATCTCTTTTGGCAAGCCTTGGTCTGTGTTCCTGTACTTGATGGTATGCCATGCCTTTTGATGGCTTTCACTTTGGTGAGGGGTTTTTTGGGTTTTTTTTTGTTTTTGTTTTGTTTTTTTTTTTTTTTTCCCCAGTATCCCTGCTATGTCTCCCATATCTTCCGCTCCCATAGCTGCCCAAAGAATAGGGTTTTGTATTTTGAAGTACTGAAGTTCAGAAACATTAGCAGCCTTTCACTTCTCTATAAAATAAAAAGCAAAGTAGTCCCAGAACACTCTACTTAAGACAACCATGCTTTCCATTTAATTTTTAAAACCATAGCACAAACAAACAGTAAATGTTGAAAGATAATGTCCGGTACTGCAGTTATTTTCATTTATTCAGTAGATCTCTAAGCTGACTAGAAAGACAAAACCCACTTGATAAAATAATTTATGAAGGAAATATAGAGCAGAGGGAGACAAATCAATAGACTTAGAAGATAGTTTATAATTTGTAGTATTCATTTAGCATTTCATAAACAGTGCCTTTCAGCTTTCAAATACCTGTAGAATATGAGTCCATTCTACAGATAATGTTTTTTGAGCTCTGAAAAAACAGCAGACTATTATATGACTAAATATCCTTCAGCTTGAGGGCTGTAAAGCACAGTCTGGCCTTCTATTGCAATGCGTTCCTTCAAACTGTCTCATGTTTGAAGGAGATGTTTCTGTTTTGAATTTATGTAATTCCAAGTCAACTCTGTGGAATTCTTCTTAATAGCTACAGCCTATTAACACAATTTAAATCAAATTTAAGCTTTCAAAACAATCCATGGACTAAGTCTATTTACTTAAAATTAGCACATGAGAATATACATATATTCCAAAATGCGTACATCTGCCCAGAGTATTGTAAATGTTTCTTTACTACGCTTTTAGGAATAAAGTCAAGCGGGATTTGTTTTTTTCAATTTATGCAATGGGAATAATCAAAGCAAAAGAACAAATTTTGTTACGGAGAAAAAAATTTGAAAGTCTCTATCTTGATTTTTAAATCCTAATGTAAATTGCTGAAAGCTGGAAAAATGTATTCTTTTGAAGCATTTCAACTCAATTTGGGTTGAGTTTTTTTCAGGCCACATATTTCAGCACATAAACATATAGAAATCTGGGGTACTACCACATTTATTCAGAGTTTTTTGAGAAGAACATAATCTTCATGATATTTAGAAGAAACTTTTCGAACATTCTGACATTTCTTCATTTTTTTCATTGCATCATGAGGGCCAATAGGCAGCAATCAGGAGATACAACAGAGAAATAAAAGATCATAGTAGACAGATAAATATTAAATAGAAAGTCTTAAGGAGATAGTTATCCAATGTAGCTGTCTGTTGTGTATCTTTGCATATTTCACAAAAACATTCTTTTTAATAACAGCATCCATTAACATGCACTATTTTATGATATTGTAACATAAAAATGTGGCCCCTTTGTCCTAATATATTAAAGGCCTACATTATTTCTGAGAAGTTTTGGATCTCTCTTTGTAATCACCCTAATGGGAAATTTGTCATTGAGCTTAGTTTTCACAAAGTACAAAGCAGTAATTTGGCACCCTCAGAGAGCAAATCTCCATTGCACCTGAAACATGATTAGCATGGAAGCACATGACCCTGCAGGCTGGAGAGTATGTGCAGTACAGCCCAGTGTTTCCCCCCCTAGTCTGCAAAGATAAAATCAGTCTGAGAGGGACAACTCAGTGTGCTTATCTTCTGCTTTAATGGGCAGTGACAAAGACTTCAGTGCCACATGGAGCCCTGGTGCCCTCAGCAGCAGGACATGCTGCACTGCTTACAAGGATCTGGAGAGCTTCACTATTTTTAACTCTTGGAGAAAACTTCAGAAACTTTTGATACCTCTTAGACAACCAACAGATGGATCACTCGGGGCCTCCAGCACGTTTTCATGTTTCCACAGAAAGGTAGGCAAAAAGATTATTTTTGCCTCATCCTCCTTCCTAGCATGTAAATACAAAAACATAATTAATTTTTTTTTACCAGTTAATAAAACTGAGACGTTGAAAAAAGACCTTATTACAAAGACTGCAATTAATCTGTTTAAAACAAATGTTGTTTTGCTTGTGGAAGCAGATCTGCCCACATATTTCTTAAATGCATTACTGTAGGATGGTTGCAACGTACCCCCTGTAGTTCAGAACTACATAATAGTAATTAAAAATCACACTTTGTATTTATGAGTCATGCATCGGCAGAGAAAGAAGGGTCAGAATATGTTTCACAGTTTAACATACCGCTGAGAAAATACTGAACCAAGTTCTGACTCATCCTTTTTGATTCCTTCCTCAGAAACTTCCTACTGCTTCCAAACACGAGTTGTTACCATTTCAAACTTCTCTATTTGGAGAAGCACGCCACAGACGCCTGTGTCAGCTCCTGGCCTTGCATCAGTCAGTAGACTCCTATGTAGATCCCCATCGCACTCCCGAAGACCTCGGTGCCGCGCAAATGCTCAGTATGAAACCAACATAACTAAATCCTTGACTATGTTGAAGAAGAACCAACCAAAGCAGCAGGACGAGCCAAAACACCCACATAAACTACTTCCCCCGCAGCCCACCGCTCCTTTCTTGCCCGCGCTCGCAGTGCCCTGCTCCGGCGGTACCCGGCTGGCCGCGGGGATGCGGCGGGGCCGCTTCCTCCCGAGAGTGCGCGCCCCCAGCAGCCGCCAGTGCCCGGGCAGGCCGCGGGCAGCCGCCGTGGCGAGCGGCGGTGCCGCCCCGAGCCGCCCTTCGGGGCGGGGCCTGGCGGGCCCGGGGAGAGGGCGGGCAGGTCCTGCGGGCAGCGGCGGGCCGAAGGTAACGCGGGCGGGGGGGGGGTGGGGGGTACGTGCTGAGCTGTGGTGAGGTCTGAAAGCGAGGCAGCGGAGGTCGGTTTTGAGGGTATTCCTGCTCCGGCCTCTCTCCGCTCCCTCTTCCCGTCTCCTGCCCGCCATGGGGCTGCGCTTCCGCGCTGGCAGCTGGGCAGGCAGGAGCTGCGGTTCGGCCCGCCAGAGGTGTTTCTGAGTAGGCTTTAATGCCTGGCAGAGTGCTCTCTGCCACTGGGACCCTCACACGCGCGAACAGCTAAGGTGGGACTTGCAGGCCTGGCGCTAACTCAGCTTGTGTTTGCTTTCACTTCTTATGCTTTAAATTCCATGCGTAGCAAATCGAAGGTTAGCCAAATAAGTGGCAGCATTTCCCAGAGGCGGGAAAACTCTTAATATTATTTTTTGGGGTTTTTTTTACACTTTACATTGCCTTTGGCATCCTCCTGTCGCCTGGAGGCCTCCGGCTTCCGGTGCTTGGGAGATTTGCGTTGTTCACAGTTTGTGCAGACGCCTCTGTAATGACTGTTTATCTGCAGTTAGGGCTGTCTGCTGTGGCAGTGACATCGGTGGGAGCCCAGCCCTGTGCGAGGAGGGCGAGGAGTCGCCGAGCTCGGCGCTTCCCCGGGAAGCCGGCGGGGCTGAGCACGGCCCCTGCTCCCTCCGGGTCACCCAATCCCGCTCAGAGAGAGCCCCCATCGCGCTGAACGCTGTGAGAGGGGCGCTGCTGAAATCGTGCCGTGCCTGTGAGCGTGAGTATTCCCTTTGAAAAGGCTTCGAAAAGCCTTTTGCAGTTACTCGGACCAGTACTTGGGCTTGGGATGCACGGCTAGCTGGGAGTGGGTAGTGGAGGTAAAACTTGCCGGAGCTAAGAGTGTTGTTGTAAGTTAATGCTTCTGGCACACAGTGTTGTAACTTGGCTTGTCTAACTCGTGGCAGATGCAGCGCATGCTGATTTGTTAGGGATGCTATCGAAGCCTTGGGTGTTCGTTTTTGTGGCTTTAGATGCCAGACTAACTGTCCTAAATCTTATCTCTGAACATTGTTGCCGGCATTTAGCTGTGTGCGTGCTGTGTCATAACCATGGGCATCTCCCGTTGATGCTTGAATGCTCTTCTGCAGCATCTTCTCTTCTGATTTTACATGCTGAACTAAAGTGTAGAGCAGGAGATTTTATGTTAATGAGAGGCTTGCTAGTCAAGCTAATTGTTAAAAGCAAAACAGAAATGAGGGAGTAAAATAAGAGGTGACTAATTGCTAGTGTCCAAAAGAAGCATGTGCTACATCATCACTCCCCTCAAGATGGTATATTAGAATTCAAACTATAGTGAATGTGTTAAAGGAGGATTTCCTCAATGCTTATTACAGGTTCTCTCTGGTGTTTGATAAGCCTGGGCAGGTAATTTTGAAAACAGCATGGAACAATGCTAATATTGTTAGTGAAATTGACCTTGCCCTGACTGGGTTACTAATACATAGAAACACACACAGAAACACGTGTTTTGCATTCCTGTTCTAGGTACAGTAAACCAAGAGTAATCCCAAAGCTGTTCTGGCCCTTTGGAATTTTATACATAATAAAAGTGAGTTGATAACCTAGTGTCAAGTAATAATTTTATCTATGTGTGCAGGTTCCATTTTGAAGTTTTAAGTTTTCTACGTTATGAAATCTTTTGGAAGGTCTTGACTTTTTTTTGTAACTAACTTTCATAATACAAAATCCCTGTTTCTTACTAGAGAAAAGTTGGTGTAAAATTTGTTAAATCTGTTCTTTATTGTATTTGTGAAATTAGTAATCTAGTGTATTTTTAGTAAACGGAAGCAGTTTTTATTAAAAATGTATGTGCTCTATGCATTGTAGTTGTTAATGCAGTTTTCATTTGGATGTGTATATTTCCTCAAATGCACATCATTCAGCTGCCTTTAAGATGAAATTGATGCATTTTTCACCCCCCACCATCAATGCCACAGACAAAAAGTCCGCTTGAATAAATCACTCAATCTGTCTTGATAGTGTTGTGGGACCTGCAAGGTTGTCTTCTGAGCTAAATCCTTAGAGAATTTATGTATTGCTTATCAGTGGAAAAAAGTGAAAGTTACAGATTGGGGGCTTTCAAACCTGCTTTGTTGCCCTATGTTCTGGTTTCAGGGCTCAGAACAATATGTAGAATAAATCAGCACCTTCTGCTGCTCTAATGGCAGCATTTTTTTAAGCCCCTTTCTGTTCCTGGTAGTTACTTGGTCAAACATAAGAGACCTTTATGCTTTTTTTGCTGCTTAGTCACTGAAAAAAAAAAAGCTTCTTTCCATCTACAAACTTACATCAAAAGAAATGCTGTAATGCTTGCTGGGTTATTTTTCTTTCATAGTCCACTTCCTTAGATGTTTCTTCCACACCTTTGTGGAGTGCAGCTTTTTTTTGGTGATGTGTGATCTTGCTGTCCTTCAAGTGGTACTTCCTGCTTGCTGTAGGTGGGGCAGAATTTTACATGAATCTTACACTTCTTATATCTCTCCAAATTTTGTCTTTATAGTTTTTCATGCAGAAAAGTAGTCTTGCTTGGTTGGTTTTCAGTTCAAAATAACAGAAGAAGAAACCATTAAGCTGGTCTAGAAGGCAGAATCTCACATCATTAGTTCCTGTTGTTCAAATGATGAGACTGGAGATCACTTAAGGTGCAGAACTGTTGGGGAAATTGGCTATCCAGCACTTGTGACTTTTTTTATACACTGTACAACAATATCAATTTCTCTAATACAGCATGTATATCTTTCTTTGGCTAGCTTTTGCTGAAGATCAGTTCTGCATTATTGTTTACTTTTCCATACAAGTAGCACTCTCCAAATGATCTTCTAAAAATTATTATTAATTTTTTCTTATTTTACCCGGTGAAATTCCTTCTGGTGTTTTTAAGAAAGTAGATCAGGAAGATAACAGTTGGCAGCTAATATTTATGTGATTATATCTTCTGTTAGGCCAAGTACCTTGATAACATGTGTATTACAAACTAGAGAGGCATTTATGTATGAATTAGAAGAATGTCTTAAAAGTGTTAGCTTCCTCACAATTTAGCAAGACCTTGTGATAAATTTAGCTGGTTAACATTACAGTTGTTGCCCAAGCCCATTGTGAGTTTTGAAATCCCCACACATTTTGCAAGCAGGGAAGCTCCCTCCTTTGTGCTTCAGCTCTGGCACGGCGTTTGCAGAACTGTGGATTTCTGTAGGCTGGGTCCTGAGCCACATAACTGTGGGAAAATGTTCTTCTTTATAATGAGCTGTGAATATGAGCTGAGTTTTCTCAGTGTAATGGCTGAATCAGCCATGTCTTTGCTGGTGTCAAAACAGGCTTTACTTGACTGTGGTAAGAATGAATTAAAAAAAAAACATCCATAGGAAAAAAAAATACGACTAATGTAGCGAAAAGATCTTTGAAAGGTCACCTAGGTTACACACAGTGTCTTATGGTGCAGGGTTGTCATTTTAAGAAGGTTGGGAAGTAGTTTTGGTGAGGCTTTAATAACTTGCATTGCATTTAAATATGTGCATGTACATCCCTTTGTAGAAGGTAGCATTTGAAATGCTGTGAAATGGCTGGCAGATCTGGGAGACAGTTGGGATTTTTGACCTGTGCCAAGTAGACAAGTAGAAGTCCTCCTGTTTGTGAAGGTTAATTTTTTTTTTTTTTTAATCCCCTGACTTCTAAGGTCCGTGAAGTATTAGGCAAATTGTGCATGGTTCCATCGAGGCTATTTCAGTTTTATAACAAGAACAGAAATTTCATGTGGTTTTAGCAGCATTTAAAAAAAATATTAGTTTAGCAGTCAACTGGCACTTAGACAGAATTTCTGCTTTGGAAATCATCCTTGGCTTCCTGTGAGTCTCTAATTTCAGCCTTGGCCAATCCAACACGAATATTCAATATTAAGTTCAAAGTTTCTTTAATGAATCACTTTGGGCATTTGAGCTGACTGCAAGTAGAGTCTTCAATTACAGAAATATAGGTCTGTAGAAGATTTATATATTTCTGTTAATTGGAAGGTGGCTCTGTGGCAACTGTGTGCAAGTGAAGGATAAAAAGGAAACAGTGATCTCATCCTTGATGGCATTATTTGTGAAAATTACCATACAAGCTGGGCTATCAGGCACAGCCCTGAAAGACATCCCCATTTACCCATGATTGTAAATCTAATCTAGAGTTACCATTACCTCCTATTTTGGGCATAGTACGTTTCTTTTGCATTTTAACATTTAAGTGTGTTGGATAGGTAACAGATTTCTTCTTTCAACACCTTTTTACAGCTATTTGGATAACAAAATGAAACCTGCCAAGCTGCACTATTGGATTTTGGGTTGGTTTTTCATGGCACTATGTTGTTGGTGTACTTCAGATACTTTTACTCAAAGGTAAGTTGTGCTTTTAAATGAAACATCTGACAACTCACTCTTAAATGCAGATCAGAATGGTTTAACTTCTAATGTAAATTTGTTATTATGTACTATTTTTGATGTGTTATTCTACCCTTAGATGATTTATAGTAAGGTGACTACATTAACAGGAGGAGCAAGGATCATGCCTGAGGAAACCTTTAGATGTGTCAGCATGAAGAAAGAGGAGAAACTTAAATTCCATTTGTTGCACTTGAAACTTTTCTCATCTTCCTATACATTCATCATTTAGAGTTGTGATGTGGTAATGACAAAAACTGAAAATTATTTTGACACTCACAGCAAAAAATCTGGAGTCATCACTGTGGCGTGAACTGCACTAACTGTTGCATTATTTATTCTTTTATTTATATTTTCTTTTCCTTGCTGTTTTCTCAATTCTGACAATTTAAAATTATTTTTCATGTGGCATCCCAACTGAGCCTGTATTATATTGCTGCATCACTTTTCATGGTTGTTGCCCCTTGGCAAAATCTGAGTTTCAATACCAATGGGCCATGGGAGAAACCACACCCCAAGTCACATTTCTGTGGTCAGAGTTGAAATTCCTATTGCGTTATGTGAGGAAATAAACTTTTCTGCTGCCTTTTAGTGCTTTGGCAAGGCAATGGTTAGGGGTGCTCAGTTCAGTGCTGAATTTCAGTGCCTGCATTGCACTTGGTGGGCAGCTTAGACACTGTGCTGATGTTTCTTCAATCCCCAGGATTTAGGCTCTAGCTTGGCCATCTTGGCAAAGAGTCAGCTCTAGAGGTGCCTTCCTGAGCTGCACACAGCATGAGAACTCAGGTCCTGAGAAGGGAGAATATCTCTGCAGCTGCACAGATAATGAAAATGGCTTTCCTTGGATTCCAGCTCTGTTTAATAAGTACAGTTTTCTGATCTGTCCTTAGCCACAAAGTGTGTTCTGGGAGAACTCTGGCATGATTGACATTGCAGAAGTTCAGCTGCTATTTCAAATACAGATGAAAGATCAAATGAAATGTCTAATGAAAGATCATTTCTAAGCTAGGGCTTTTTAAAACCAAGGAAATAAATTGCTCTGCAATATAGGGCAATTCTGCTATTCAGGTTTCTACAGCAACAGTGAAGACCTCTATAAAAGTGTTAATAGTTTTCATTGTGGCTATGCTTGGTAAGTTCCATAGCTATTCTTCTAAATTGTATAGAAAACCATAGATACATGTGAATGCTTAAGAGAAAATGTGGCCATTGCAAAGTAGAAAAATTGGAGGAAAAAACTGACATGTGATATAACATGGAAGCATCCCTAGGTTGTCCTCAAATTGAGAATTAGCTTGGTCTTTTATTCTGGTTTTTTTTTTTAATTTTTCTTTTGGTAATATATCCTCTAGCAGGAACTAATGACTGACAAGTGGCTGTTAGCTTCCAGAGAATAACAATTTATTTTGACAGTTCTGCATGTAATGTTGTCAGTTAAAATAATTTACAATTCTGTTTATTTTTTCCCATTTGCTGTTCTATTTAATTACTTTGTCTGGTTGCTTAATAACTAAATATATCTGCTGTAGTGTCTGATGCAACAGGTTTTTTATTTATATCTGCTTAACCAGAATAGATCTGCTCCAAACTGTTGGAAAAGGCCTCTATAGAAATGATGTGATACGGGCTTCCAACACTTCTTGAACAAATTTTTGAGGGGTTTTTTTCCCCTCTGCATACTTAAGAAATGGAAAGCATATGGAGATAGGGTGGCAGAAGGAGAATTTGTTTAACAATGGGGATATTAGCATGTTTCCCTATGTGTTGTTTCTCTCTGAATCATTAGTTTGGAGTGTGTGCCTGAAGGTGTTCCTCTTCTTAAAATAATTGCAGAAAAATAAATTTGTCTGTCTCTCTCCAGTGACATCCACCCTCATGCCTGGAAAAAGCTGTACTTTGCTCATCATTGGCCAGTGACTGTATGTAAGGTGAGATTTTTGTGTTTCTCTTTTTATCCGAACAAAGGTAGCATTGGATAATAAATGTATGAAAACAGAGTGAATAAAGCCCATTAAGTGTTTAATCCTGGTTATGCCTTTATAAAGGCTTTTCCTGATCTTAATGCAACTTTTGCTATTTCTCCTGTGATGCAGGGCAGCCATAACAGGAAAGATTGTGGTGAGTTACAGATAGAGTTGTCAGTGTAGGGTGTACTGTACACTAAGCCTGTTACAGGATTTGTGACATTTTATTAGTTATAAACTTAATCCTAGACTTTCATCAGACTCTGTAGGAAGACTTGCCTTGTTTGGCTGATGACAGTTCAGTATTTGAACTATCTGCTGCACAATAAGGCTTTTAGCTTTGTAATTATGACTCCAGTATTTCTATGATGTCATATCAAATACGGATTCAGTCAGGAAAGAGAGCTATAAAGGTGTTGTGGCAGGTGTCTCTGAGGATTTCTGCTTTTTTTACTGTATTTGAGGTATGTGAACCCAACCTTCCAACATGGATCTGTCAAAGCACTGCTAAGAGGGGATACTGTTGCTATTAAGTATCTACTACCATCTGATAAGTAGAAGACTTTTCCTGTACTGGAAGTACTCAAAGGTCTCTTCCTGTACAGTTAAGTAAAAAATATGATCAGATTTACTGACACAAGGTAGAAGAACCTTGGGGATAATGCAATAGCTTCAGGTCCAGCCAGATGAATGTGGAGGGTAATATCAATAACAAAAGTCAGATGTGTGTGACTGAGACCACTGTTCTGTTTTTTGCCTGGTTTTGTGTGGAAATAAGGACAGATTTGATGCAATTTGTGTCTGATTTTCTGTTGATTAAACATCATTGTTACTGACTTGAAGCAGAGATGTTGGTGTTGAAGAGTTTGTAGTGCCTAGCACGAGTCAGTGTTCAAAGTCAGTAGCAGTGAATGAGCTTGCTTACAGGAATGAGATGAGAGCAATTAGGAAAAAAAAAAGAAAGATTAAACAACACAACATTAAAAAAATAATCCCTACCAACCCGTTTTCCCACTGTATATTTATGCTGGTTACTTCTCTGAATTCCAGGGTAGAGTAATTGATAAATTGACAAATAATTTGCATAATAACCTGCTAGTGAAGTTGAAGTGAATAATTGAAGGTATTGAGCATCAGAAAATGTAGGCTTCCTTGCCCTTTGATTTCTTATAATATTTTGTAGTAAGAAGTGGACAGAGGCATTCAAAGAGGTGCAGAAAAAGAGATATTAAAATCATGTTAAGTAACTTTTTTCTTAGTTTCCCATCGAGTCATGACGAAACAAGATCTCAACTGTACTCCTATAACAGCTTTCTTGTTTTACATAAGAGGAATTCCTAAATTCAGAATTAATTTAAGTATTAAGTAGGTAGATTCTTCTGTGTATTTATTGTATTTATATATGATAACTAGTTTTTTTCAGGGTGTAAATATTTTTAGTGTTATTATTCAGTTTCAAACTCTTGACATGATTTTGAAAGGAAAAAGCCGTGAAAGAAACAGCAAAAGCCATTATATCATTTATGGCAAAAACCTGTGAGATACTTTTTTGTTCTGAAAGTACTACTTTGATTTATGTCTCCTGTGTGAAGGAGTCTTATTAGAGAATCTTTCATACACAGCGTGTTCTTAAGGTATGTGGATGAGCTCCTTAACTCCTGCCTGTTTTGGAGATCTGTGCTTGAAAAGTTTTTTAGGCTTTTGAAGCCCAAAAAATTTAGAGGGTGCAGATCAGCATGCCAGAAATTTGAGAGTACATCTCTCCCAGCTCTTCCTGGGCTTTAAAAAGTAACTGTTCAGCTGATGCTCTTTAATACTGAGTGTGATTGGCACAATTAAATTGGAAAGTGTTTTGTAATCATATCTCCAAACTATCTCATTAAAGTAAAGTGATACCATGGCAGCAGTGATAACCCCAGGACCTAATTACTGACTACTACAGTGAAAAGTGTGCAGGAGGAAGAGAGATTTTCTTCCTTGTAATGTGATTAGAAATTCCGGTACCATATAATTGACCTAAGGTGACTGTGTCTTATGCAAAGATATCTAAGCTAGACTCACAGACCTCAAGTGACTATGAAATTCATGTTCCCTTAAAAAATTTTGCCTGTGGCTAATTCACGCCACACTTTTCAGTAACAAATGAGTGTGACTTAAGAGCAACTCAAGGCCAAGAAGAGGGACTTTCCTGCTCCCTTTTTATAGAGTTGTGAAAACCTTTTATTCCAGAACTTACAAAGAGAACTATTATTTCAGCTTTTGCATCCTGGGGATTGCAAAAAGATGAATTTTTTAATGTGGTTGGGCTTTTTGTGTGTGTGTGAAATGTGGAAAAGCCAGTGCAAGTTTGTAAGTTCCTTCTCTCTTGGGAATGGGAAGGACAATAAAGAAATGGTACCTGCTGTCATCTGCCTTTTTCTTCACGTGTGTCCTCATTGAAGGAAAGAGTCAAAAAAAGGTCAATAGAATAGAGTAATGAGCAGAAGAGCCTGAATTCAAATTTGAGTGTTAAGTAACAGATGATTTTTTTTAAATTTTTATTTTCAGTATGAGATAAGAAATTTTCTTAAGTTCAGGCTTTGATAATACTTTTGTAGCAGAGGCTTAAATGAAGAATAGAAATACTAGTTTTCCGTCTTTTTTTTGTAAAAATAGAAGTAGTCCCTTAATACAGAAATAATTAAAGTGACTAAAGGAGGAAGGGGAGTAATTGCACACTGTTTGAGGGGAAGTTGCTGAGGAGGTGAACTCTTTCCACAGTTAGAAAAGCAAGAATTTTTCTTTGCAGTTGCCATGTTTCATTACAAAATAACTTAAAATTTATCTTCATTAAAGAGATGACCTACTTAAGCAAGGTGGTTGGAAGGGAGAAGAGGAGTAAATATTTCACTTCCCAGAAGCTGATTTTTTATTTCAATTTGGCATATCTGTTTGTGATCCAGTAGCACTACCCTCACATTTACCAGCTGCTGTACCAAGGGATTTGTAACTTGGGCAGCTCAACAGGTGACACTTCTGGGACACACCAATAGTATTGCATTTTTTTGGCATTTCAGAGATGATAAAAGTTTCCATGCTTCTGACACATACTGTTTGGGCAATGACTTGCTGCTACCAATAGGCTAATCCCTCTGCTGAAGTGTTCCCTCTCAGCATGGTGGGTGCTCTACAGCCTCACCAGCCCTTTGCTCAGTTTTATAGGTCATGTATGGCTCATTTGGATTGGTTTGATTATCAGATTGCTTTAAAACAGGAGAAAACGGTGCTTCTTTTTCAATTGAATCTAGATATACAGGGCTTTCTGGGATCCAGTGCTCACTTGAAAATAAATATTTGTGCCTCTCTTTCTAGTCAGTCAATCTCTAGAGATTGAATTAATCTTCCAGCAGTCTGTGATAAACAGGAAGGCTCACAAGAAGTGGTTTTGCACCAGCAAGCAGGGGTACCCAGCTTTGCAGACCAGCATTTGCATTTTTTGTTATATTGATTTAAAATTAACATTGGAGAGATACTAAGGTTAGAGTGAAATAGGAGACTGAGTGAAGCTGGCCAAAGCATGAAGAGTGTGAACTAAAGTGTTGTAGGTTGCACTGACCTCCCAGTTCTGCCAGGGCACAGGGTAGCACCAAGAGTCCAATGAAACAGATAGAAGAAACTGCTAGGAAGGTTAGTGCCACGATTTCAAATCTGAAATACTCTGGGTGTTCCTTTAGCATGTCTGAGAACTGCAGTTAAAGGCTGAATAAAGAGCACAATTGCGCTGTTCTTGTTGCCACCTCAGCTGAGCAAGCTGTTGACTATTAATTTGCTATACTTTGGGCTAGATAGCCAAACTCCTCCAGACCCACAGAGCTTGTGCCACAACAGAGCTATACTAATAGGCATTTTCAGTGTGTGTTTGTTCAAAATATTTCTTTCAGGAAAAAAACTTTTTGCTGGGTATAATTGCTTGTATTGTTGGTGGCAAGAGAGGAGAGGAGAGGAAGGACATGGACACAGAACAAGAAAGTCTTGCAGAAGTTGCAGATTTGCTGCCACTGGCCTGTGGCATGTGGAAGGCAATTAGTGAGATTACAGGCCTGACTCTGCTGCTCTCTACACTCTGCTCTTGCTCTGGCATCACATAAAAGGCATTGTGGCATAATTACAACAGAATGCAGAGCCAAAAAGGAAAGCTATTATTATAGGAAAAGAACGTCTGGGGAGGTTGTTAGTTAATGGCAAAAAGTGTTTACTAAGAATAATAATCAGGGAAAATACAGTAATGGCATTCTGTGATGTGTGACATGGATTTTTTTTTTTTTAGTTTGTTCTTTTCAGGCATGTCTCTGGTCTAAACAGTAATTAAAGTGTAGGCTATTTCTCCTGTATTATCAACAGTTTTTATTGGAGGCTCTATTTTTCTGTTTTTGTAGGAAGGTATTTCGTCTTTCGTTTTCTCTCCATTCCCTTGAACCGCAAGTCAAAATCATGAAAGCATAAGTCTGTTTTAAATATATTAAAAATATATTTATTTATATATTTAAATATATTAAATAAATATATTTAATCACTTCTTTGTATTTTTCACTTGCAATACAATGATAAAACTAGTCCTGAATGTTTAAGGAGGGTTTTGTGCTTGTCCAATAATATGATTTATTTTGAATGTTTTCACTTTAATGGCTCTGCACTCCTTGAAAAAATGTGGTTATGAGAAAAATACAGAGCTGCCACCTGGAGAACTATAAATGCAGATAAAGCTGTGTTCATTCAGCATGGATCAGGCTACTTTCTGTTACCTCACAACCTGTCCTTTTATCTTCTTTTTACCCTGTCTGTTCAGAGTTTACTGATCTGCTTGAAAATTTTAATGCCAGTGGGTCCCTTAGTGGCATAATCCATGACAGCTTCAAGTAACGGGAGTTCACCAGTTCCTGGTTTGGCGAGGAAAAGTTAGCATGTCACAGTAGAACCTCAGGCCATCACTGAATGAGGTTTTACTTTTGCCTGGATACATGCAGCAAATACTCTGTGTTTTTGTTTCCTACAGATGAATGCTAATGATTGTCATGATCCACCAAAGTACTGGACAATCCATGGATTGTGGTATGATCAAAGAGTGGTTTTATTTCAGCCTGAAAAGGAAAAATCAAATTTTGTACCAGGATGTTTAGTGATTTGGTTTTGTTGGGTGGGGGTTTTTTTGTTTGGGGTTTTTTGTGTGTTTTGTTGGAGTTTTTTGGTGGTGTTTTTTTGGGAGGTTGGTTTATGTGGAGTTATTTTTTGAGATCTTAAGCTGTCTGTTCTTATGATTGAAACAAAATTAAAACCTGATGGTTTGACATGAAACTGAAATTCACTTCTATATCTCATGACTTGTTGAAGTCCTCTGGCCACATAAACATTTTATTTACATGCCTCCTCTTAAGATCAGAAATAGCCTCAAGCACAAAGGGAACTATTGTTTCCCTTCTTTTCTTTTGTCTCTCTGAGTAAAAAGAATTTGTTAATTTCTCATGACTGCTTGTGGCTTTAAGTATCTCATCACCACACAAATATTGCACAAGTGGAAGAAAAACTAATTTGCTTCAAAAGTATCACCTCACTGGAATTGATGCCAATGGCAGCAATCCAAGAATTTTCCAGACAGATACAGGTTAAAATCAGTACAGGAGTTTAAGCTATGCCTCTTGGAAAAGTGAACATCATTATGTATTGATTCCCTGAGCGTGTCTTGGTGACACTTGCATGAACATCTGATGGGGCAGCAATTCAAGAGGTGATGTCAGTAGTGACACCAGTGACATCATGTGCAAGACCTTTCCAAGTCATTGGCACACCCAAATGACTTTTACATAGAATGAAAGGGACTAAAGGGCCAAACAAAGAAATCACAACAAAATCTTTTGGCCATCTTTTGAATTTTCATGAGAAATCTTTTGGCCGTAATTAGTGTCTTGAAGGTTTTACTTCTAAACCACTGTAGGTTCTTATGATTTACTTGCATTAATCCTGCATGCTTAAGATTCAGGATAATGATATGTTAGTTACCATTAGTGAGTTAAGAGACATCTTTTTTCAACTTTATTTTGCTTCCCTAGGCCTGACAGAGCTGAAGACTGTAACAGAACATGGCATTTCAATGTCACCGAGATCAAGGTATTTAAAACAAAAACAGACATACCAGGCAGAGCTAAGTGCAGTTACTTTTGCACATCCTATATGCAAAATCTGCAGTTCATAATATCACTCCTAATGCTTACTGAGGGGTGTGGTTTTTTAAGGACTCCTGAAATTCTTTTAGTGCTTCTGGTACTATTTGAAGTTGCCATCCTTGTGATCATTAGCATCTGTACCTACTTGATTTTGTGAACATGCAATTTGGCTCATTCAGCCACATCCTCCTTAATAAAATCTAGAGGTCCACCACCACATAGGTGCTGGATCTGTAGTGACAAAAAGCGCCTGTGAAAAAAAGTGATTCAGTCAGTTGGTGTTCTCCCTTCACATTTTCTACTGCAAAATCAAAATAAAGAAACTAAGAGCTCAGAATACTGTTTTCTGTGTGTTTTCTCCTAGGCCATTAGTCCTCTTTTTGTTCTTTTTCTAATTAAAAAAATCCCCAGTGTATTTAATTCAGCAAAATTCATTTAGGTTTTATAAATGCAGATAGGGATAGGGGACTTGAGCCTGACAAATATGAAACACTGCATGATTGAACAACTTCTGCAGGGACAGTTGAAGGAAAGTCTTGCTTTGAGGCAATCTGTCAGTAGTGGTATGTTCAGATATTTAGGTAGGTGTACCTATTACCTCCAATGACAGCCTTTTCAGAATATGGGGTAAAAAGATCTTTTATTTTTCTTCAAATAAATGTTTCAGTCATGGACACTGAAAGATGAGGCTTCAGTTGTAAAAAACTTATCAATATATGTAGATTGTATAAGAAACAGCTTTTCAATGCTGTAGGTGTAATTATTAATTGTGGTATTTTTAGGATCTTTTGTCAGACATGAGACACTACTGGCCTGATGTGCTTCATTCATCTCTGAATCGCACTCAGTTCTGGTGAGTACAAAAAAGCCCTAAAAAGCATTTTGGGTATTATTTTACAAAAATCTGTCTGAGTAGTTCTTCAGGTGCATTGGAGGAAGTGCCCAGGTGGCCACTGAAGCAGTGTGTCTTGCCAGTCTCATTTATAGTATAGATCTGTTCTCTTATAAAATACAGCTGTTGAGGAGAGGGCTATAGAAGAAGTTTTAGAGAAATGAAACTTAGTGAGAAAATGTTTCCTCCCTTTATCCCCAGGGAGAAGAAACAGCTGCTGTTGACACATTAAATCTGAGTAGCAGTAGCACTCCTGGGATATCACAGGTAGCTGCAAGAGCAGCTTCCAGATCATTTTCCCTAGCTAGTTTCACTGTGTTGCTGGTCTTGAGGCAGCTTTCATTTTGGGCTTCCTTATAGAAGAGAAAATAGAGAAATAGAATGCACTGTGCCATGGTAGCCACTTCCCTTTCAGTGAAGTTACTGACAGCAGCTCTGTGCTACCACCAAGCTCATTGGTGCAAGAGGTGCAGAAGGATGGAGGCCTTGATGAACACCTGTAGCTGTGGTCAGTATCTTTTTTTTTCCTTTGAAATGGCTGTGCTGCAAAACAGTGTGACATTGTGAAGAGTATAATCTTAAAGTCTTGGTAAATATTTTGTGGAAACTAAAGTCTGTCCATTCTGGAAGCTCACAGGATTGATTAAGCTCACTTGGGCCTGGTGCATTCTTGGCTTGCTGCAGGTGATGGTTCACAGGCACTGTCAGTGTGGACTTCCCCAAACCACTCCAATAGCAGTTCCATGGTAGCAATAAAAGGCTTTTTGAATGCCAACAGGTCTTTGGCCCTCTGTTTTTTACCTTCTTTATAGAAAGAGCAGGACACTTCAATTTAAGTACTACTGAATGCCTTCAAAAGGCAGGTACATCACCATTAGTTTTACAGACATGCATGTATACACTCCCTGAACTGAAATTGTCATCCTTGTCATCCATGCAAGGCCTTGCCTCTAGCTTGCTGCTGTTTTAGTAGCCCTTTGGATCTGACTATTATCTGCTTCTGATCCAACCTAACTATATTTCTTGCTAAGTTTACCTCTAAAAGAGCCTTTCTGTTTACTTTAAAACTGTGATGACTTTTCTCATTAGTAATTTAAAATCCCTTATGGAGAAATCTGCCCATGGAAACTGGATTCTTCTAGGCAATAAACAATTAATTTGACATGCAGTTGTGTTGAATGTTACAGCCAAGATGAGAACTCTCTACAAGGCTAAATTTGGGAAGATGCAGTGAAATTCTTGCAGTAAAGCATCTTCTCCCCTGCCTCAAATCTCCTGACACCACAGTTGCTGTATTAATTTTTTTCTGAGAAGTAGTACACTATTTCTCTAGATCCAAACATAATTTCTTTTAAGGTGTTTTAATTCCTTAAGAAAAATCTGAAGTTTTTAGTATAAGTGGACAATTCCAAGGTAGGCTTTCAAGTGAATAATAGTTGTCCTTCTCTGCTTTTTGGTGATATACTTAAGGCATCATCGGGTCACAGGACGCTGTGATGATGGCAGGAGTTTGTGATTATGTAATCTTTGTGTACATCTGCTGAACTGATACCTGTATAGTACAAGTGGATTGTGAGAATTTGAAAATAATTTTTAAAAAAGACATCTGCAGGCAGTGTCACTAAAGGTTATACTGCTTAGTCTTTCAAAGGACTTTAGAATTGATAAAAACATTTGTCTTTTTCCCAATTTTTGTCCTGTTTGAGTTTGTCTGCTGTGCACTGCAAGAATTTCTTTTGCTCTCTGTTCCTTGCTTTTAGGAGAAAGGATAGTGGATTAGAAGCAAGACTTGAGAGGAGACCTATGAAAATTCTGCCACAGGCTAGCATAAAAGCTAATGCTAAAATCTAGCAGCTTGTGCAATTTCACTGTTTCACCCAAAATAAGGCTTAATCCTCTGAGTTCAGAAAAAAAAATTAGTGCTTTGAAAGTGTGTTTAACACAAAAGATTCCACTCTAAAACTTACAAAAAGCATAGAGGTAGTAATTTTCTAGGCAAATTCTGTGCATTCTGACCTCCAAATGTCTTTGTGTAAATCCACTGATAGAGCATTGTATCATAAGAGCATTATATGTCTTTACTTCATGAATATATAGATGTTGCTGTAATTGAAGTAGTGGAAGTGATCTTGTTTGGGTTTACTTTTTATATGTGTGATAAATTTGAATGCAGTATCCTACTCCACATGTGTAGCCTTTTGGATACATGATTTAAGTACAATGGCTAGCTTGTACAGCACATATATCTACAAAAAATGTGTTCTAAAATTTGCATTTTGCTTTTCTCCTGTAGGAAACATGAGTGGGACAAACATGGCACTTGTGCAGCCACGCTTGAGGTCCTTAATTCTCAGAAAAAATACTTTGGTAAAGCCATAGAACTCTACCAGCATGTTGATCTCAATGGGTACGTAAATGAACTCAATGGTCTGGCTTTTATTTCAAACAGTTCCTAAAGATTTCAGATCCAGCCTCAAATGAAAGTCTAAAAATCTGATGGCAGAGAGGAAATGAGAATTAGCATAAATTATTTTCAGTACTGAAGTTCAGAGGAAGAGTTGTTACCCTGAGAAGCAGTCTCTGGTCACTTCAGTCAGATAAGCCAGCATCATTCTTAGCAGCATCCTTCTAGACAGCATGAGCCAGTAAATTTTTGAGCAGCTTTACAGGCTGTATCTTGATACCAAAAGCTGTAGTACCTGTAAAGGTCTAAATCAAATGACAAACCCCCCAAACTTCTGAATCATGCTGAACCCCAAATACTTGTTTTTGAGACAGTGCTCTGCTCAGGGGAAAGGACAAGCTGCAGGCAGTCATACAGGACATTCTGGGAAAAGGCTGAGAGGCAACTGCAAGAGAGGAGGTTGTGAGGGGGTCAGTCACTGCAGGCAGTCCCCTGCTTTTCTTTGTGACAGCCCTGATGTGACACCCTTGCTTTGTCCTAGGGGCTGATTTCTCCTCCTTGTTCCAAAGCACTGGCCATTCCAGATTCAAGGTCTGTTGTGGCTTGTCCAAGTGCTGGATGCATGTGTTCTGGCTGCAGTTGAATGCCAGAAGGTTAGTCATTTCCTGATCAGTGCGTGGTATGGGTGAGAGGATGTTTGACTTAGATTTGTTGGCCATGAGGGGACAGTATCTGAGAGAGGAAATAGTTTCATACAAAGAAATATACCTTTAAAAAACTCAAGAAAACAACCCCAAAGAAACCCCAAACCAGCTCATCCTGTTTATGCTCTGCCAGTATCCTTTTCACAAAGAAAATAAGCCTTTCTTCCCTCCCATCTTGGTTTAGATGATGTCTTTTAAAACTGTGGCAGATTTTTCTAAAAGGGTTTTCAGTGTTTGAGCATGTCACATGTAATGTTAAATTAATGATGTCTAAGTCAGTTGCCTAAGTAGCTGTGATGGCGTGACTAAAACATTTACAGATGGCACAGTGACCGATGGTGTGACTCTGTATCAGCTTGTGCAACACTGCAAAGGAATAGAGACTGAAGCATGTTGAAATTAATTGCTCAAAGCTTATTATCTATTGTGAAAATAAGTATAATTAATTTTATCTTTACTGAAGAGAAAAATGACTGAAAATGTTCTCATTGTGTATAATTTCTACTTGAAAGACAAAAAATGTCAGTGTTAAAGAAGTTCTTTCCACAAATCAAATTATTATAAAGAGGACATCATGCAGCCTTCTGTAAGAATTAACAGAACATCATCTATTTTATTGATCTCCTTATATCCAGTGTAAAATGATAGTGAAAAACTGCTTGTCCTTTAGTCAGCTGGATAAAATCTTCCTTGTGCCAAAACTGACCTTGGAAGGGAAGGGTTGAGCATTATCAGCATTTATGGATTAAATCTTGCAACGTACTGACCATTCCCACTTCTTACAGAGGAAGCTGTAGGGGCTCACAGACTCATCATGGGTTAGGTCCTGAGTCTTGTCAGCTTGGAAATGTGAACTCCTCTCAGGACTGAGCCTAAAGGAAGGGGTACACAGACTACAGGTTCTTGAGCACTTCCTCATTTCTCATGTGACCAGCTTTTCCTCTTCAAAAATGTATCTAGTAGGAGCAGTTTCTGCCTTGACTGTAACACTGATTCTGATTGACATGCTGTATCCCTCTTCCAGTGTGCTGTGTGTCTCCCACCACAGGAAGCCATCCTGTGTTTGAATGTGAGGGTGCCTGGAACACCCTCACAAGTCTGCCCCTGTGCCCTCTGCAGTGGCAGGAGCACAGGGGAATGACTCAAGGCAGGGGACAGGAAGCAATTAAACTGCATTCCCTGCCTGGCACTGAACAGAGCACTCTGAAACTCCCTTTCCCCTAGCTGTCTGAAGACTGAACTATCCTAGTTCCTCCTGTTAAGGTGTGGGAAAGTGTTCTTTCTAACCCTTCCAAATTGGATGGGAAGTGTTCTTTCAGAAAACAGCCTTTCCTAGGCTGGCACAGAATGAAAGACAAGTTGTCCTTGCTCCCATGACCATAATGCTTGACAGGTTCTTAAGATCTGTTTTACCTAATGGTTATGAAGGTGTGTTTGCATAGAGGAAACATGGAAAAATGTTCTATCTTTGTTTCAGTTGTCTCTTGAAAGCTGGGATAAAGCCAAGCAGTTCATATTACAAGGTAAGAGGCAGTCTTTAATAAAACAAAATCATGTGCATAGACTTTTTTTGATTAGGAGTCAACTAGTTTATGTAGACCAAATGATCTTTTGAAATTTTCAAGTTCTTTAAGGCTGTGCTTTTTATGAAAGTTTTTGAGAGCTTAACCAGTGTGGGAGCTGTTGGAAGATGTGCTTGTGACTTATTCATCTCTATAAGCTTTTTAATTTTTCAGATGACTGCTATAAAGGAAGCTCTTACAAGATTTTATGGTGTAACACCAAAGATCCAATGCCTTCCTCCAGAAGAGGTAAAAACTCCCCTAACTTCCCAAAATGGAAGAAAAACCAAAAAAAAAAAATTTTTTTTTAAGGAGCACTTTCTATCAAAGATATAGCAAAAATAGAGTGAAAAAATTTTTGGTATGGTGAAACTTAGGTCTAGGTGTTCTTTGTGTATACAGCTGTTTCCATATAGGTATTGTTTGATTCTTGGCCTTGGGTTTGAAGGTCTCTTTGTCTTAAAAGATTTAAACCTGCATCTCTTGCATGAATGCTGTAACCACCCTGCTGGAGGTATTGCTGTAGCTGGACGCTTTCCACCATGCCTGCTAAAGTTTAGTTGCTGCATGGCAGATTCCTAAAACCAACAAGAGTGAGCTGAATGGAGGCAATGAATGTCAGCCTTGGTGTGAGGGTGCTGCTGTCAGAATCCTTCTGAAATAAGGCAACTCAGAGGTTTGTCTCTGAGATTGTTCCAGAGAGCCCATACCTAAAGAGGTCACTGTAGTCTTTCCTTTTGAACCAAGCATGTCTCAAATTTCCATGTCTTTTTATTTTTGCTTGCCAGTAATTGTGCTGTGCATCATGATGCACTGGAGAGGGTGCTACACAGAGACAGCATTCTGTAAAGCATAGGTCACTATATCTGAACCAAAAGTGCTTTTGAAGGAACAAAATAGTGTTCTGAACAATTACATGTGTAGGCTGTAGAGCTCTTTCTTTCTGTTTTTTCAGCTAGGTTACTCTGCTCTTATGGAAAAATAAAGCAAGAAACAAAACCCACAAGGTTAGCTTTCACTCTTATAAGTGGTTCCTTCTTATCTCAGCTTGTTCAAGGTGATTTACTACAGAACTCTTGGCAGAGTTACTGCCCATATGCAGGCAACAATTATGAAATCCTGCTAAGTTACAGTTGCTATTGGCGTATGTTGTCAACTCTTGCTTTAGTAATGCTGAGGTTTTTCTACTCATATGTTTTTTAACATGAAAAAATCTATACCTTACAATATTTTTAACATGTATTTATAAGTTACTTTAAGGAACAAAGGAATTTTCGTTGCATGTGGGTTGTATACTCCTCCACCTTTTGACATGAAAGAAATACAGAGCTAACACAAACCCCAGTTTCTAGCTCTGTTCACTCTAGTTCTGCCATTGCTTTTAGTACCCTTGAGATACTGTTCCAATTGCATGAAAGTAATGTACAGCTTGGGTCTCCTGTATGTAACTGCTGAAGGTATTGGGTAATAGAACTGAAAAGGTACATATCAGGTATTTGAAGATAGGCCTTTTTCAGAGTTCTAGACTTGTCCATGCCTGAAGTGCATGATGGAGGTACTTTGATGTTTGGAATGGATTAGACACATTCTCTGTTCTTATGTTTCTTTAAAAAAACCCCAAAATAAACAACCCCCCCAACAGCACAAATTCAAAACAAACAAAAAACCCTCTCACCTCAGTTACTTTTATCCTTTATGTATCTTTTTGTCCTGCTTAATTGTTTCAAAACAATTTTTCCCGCATTTTGCTAGACCTGAGCATTTGGGGGGTATTTTCCTGTAATCTTTTTACCACATGGAAGGTCTCTATGCCTGCCTGCTTTATTCGTAGTCAGCATTTTTCTTCCTGGCCTGTTCTGTAGTCCAAAAATGACACTTCTGCTCCTTCTGTCAGCTTGATTCTGTGTTCTTTTGTGTAAAAGCTATTATAAAATTTAGTTTCTCTTCTCATGTATGGAGAATTTTATTTGCCTCAATTCCTGTCCTGCTATGAAGAATTGGTGAAAAGTGTCTTTCTGGTCACAAGTGCCCTTCAATATTCACAGAGTTCAGCCAGAGCTCATCATTGTGCAGATGAGTAAAGGCCAGGATAATGTGTCACAGCATTTCACAACGAGGCTTACTAGTTAGACAAGTCCCAGATTGGTACTGAGTTACAGTATGTACTATAAGCTGTTCAGAGTGCATGCCTCTTGTACTTTTCTTTGCATTTTTCATCTGGTAAATGGACAAAAAAATGACTACTGTATTGTATAGATAGGGCAATGTAGCTGAAGAATTGATTTATTTTCTCCTTCCCATAAGGCTGATCTTACCCTTCATGTTTCTAGGGTGAAAAAGCACAAACAATTGGCCAGATTGAATTCTGCTTCACCAAAGAGCTGCAACTGGTGAACTGCACAACGCGGGAGGGTGGATCCAACGCAGTGCATGCTCACTTGAAGCTTGGAACTTCGGAGCTGTCGGTCTGCAATGATACTCTCCCAACCTATTACCCTTCAGAGGTCCAAAATCACAAATGAAGCCATAGGACTTCGAAAAACTTTTTCAACAGCAACAAAGCCCACACTCATGTAATATTATGAGCCCCTGTCCACAGACCTATAGTGAAGATTTCTGCTAGAAAAGAGAGTTATTTTGCTATTAAAGAAGAGTGGTCCACATTACGAGATCAGCATCTGATCTACAGCATGGTCTGGATTTTTTGGCTTGCTTATGGTTTGAATCAATGTTCAAAAGAGAACTGTGACTTCTCAGTTTGTCATGCAGTTTTCTGCCACTTATCTGCTTTTTGGTTTTTATCAGTGAGTCAGGGAACTTAATTCTTTGTATTGAAAGGATGATTGTCTCTCTGAGATGAGGTGGCAGTTTCTTGAGAGGGAAATATTGTAAACAGAGCTCTTGAAACCTGTCTGGAGGTCCATTCCCAGATGGAATAGCCACTGCCTTGCATAATTGCTCTCCAGAAGTGCAGAACAGAGATCATGTCCTCTGAGGTGTTGCACCTTTCTTCACTGAGATGACAGTGGACCAAAGACAACTGTTGCCTAACTTCTTAGTGAAGTAATAATGTTCTCCAAGTTTGGGCTTTTCTACCTTAACGATCTCAGGGAAACTGTATTTGTAGCCTTACCTGTTCTTTGATTATTTCCATAGTGAAACAGTGGACTGTATACAGACTTGGGGAACAACCAATGCTACAACTCTAGATGTTAGTACAGGAGAATGTTAGGCCCTAGAAATATGTTGTTACTAATTTTGTGTTTGAGCATTCAGCATTACTACTTGTGAGTGCCTGCACTTGTATATAAAAACAAGATTTTCACATCATCGCTTTGTTCCAAGAAACATCTTTTTATAGATGAAACAATAAATACTGCCAGATTTTCAGTAAAAAGTACAGATATTGGCAAAAGTGCATCTCTACCCCATAATGATGAGTAACATGCCACAAAGATGGATGTTTCTAAAGGAACCAAATTTTGATGATGTCTTCCCCAAAGTGCTGTGTTGATCTGTGTGTCTCAAATAAAGACAATTTTGGCTTAAGGAACCGTCTGTTTTTAGAATAATGTTACTGTGAAAACATGAAATGCAGTATTAGAAACAAATTTGTTATTTTGAGGGGGTTAGAAACCATTTACTCTCATTTTTGACTGTCCCTATTTCTCTACCACCTTTCATTTAATGCTTGGTTAACTTTCCATTCCAGAATGCTCTCAGTTTCTTTGGCCTTTCTTGAAACTTAAATATCTATTTTAACAACCAAGAAATTATTGTGGTCTGCCAAACAAATGAATGTTGGGTTTGCCTGTTTTTCTGCAGTTGCTTGAATCCCTCAGTCCTGTTTCTCAGGCAAAGGTAAAGCTGACTCCTGGCAAACGGAGTCAGCAGATACACACATGAATAACAAATGACCAAACTCTGCAGCAGAGTAGATATAATGGATTCCATGCATTTTTCAGCCTCATTTTCAAATGCAAGAAATGTGAAGGAGCTGATAAGTCTTAAAACTTTGAGGAGAAAATAACATAATCCAAAAGGAGTGAGGGAGACAACATGCCAGCAACTGAGTAAAAATTGACTGAGAAAAAGTAAAAGCTTGGGTAAACAAGCTCACATACTCTGAAGTCCCATTTAAAGGGACATAACTGAAGTATGGTGTTTGCCTTAAAAAACCTGCACCCATGTGCTTTTTATTACAGATTAAATAATTAAATTTTTGATGGTGAACTTTTGAGTAGTAGCACTAAAACACTGTGTATATAATTCCTCATGCTTTGGTTTTGGCAAACCCATGTGGGAAGATACAAATGTCTTTTTAAAGCTACCTACTGATTTTTGTAGAGAGATGTGCCAAGACATTATGAAGTTTTAAGTGATGTATTTAAGGGATGCTTTAAGGTCTGTATCTGGGCAGCCAGGAGAGCAGATGAATGAATGTTACCACTCCTTCAGACCAAAGGCCATGTCCAGCTCTTTGTGTTCTTTCTAGCAATGGCTCACAGCCAGGTGTGAGCCTTGTCAGTTGCTTTCCATCAGAATGTGTATAATTTAAAGGGTTGGATTAAGGCAGTTTAAATAAAAGAAGTAAACAAAGGTATATTGGGAGCCATAAAATTCACTTCAGTTCTGAAAAGTGTCACTCCCTTGTGCAATATAAATTCTGTCAACCTTGAAAATTCAGCACAGCATGGGGATGATGGGTTCTGTATTCTTTTCTGCACCAACTAATAAATTAACTAAATTCCAGCAGAGATACTGTGTGCAGTCTCAGTGGTTTAAAACACTACTCCACAAAGGGACTTAGCTTATTTATACCATTAGTCTATGTGCTCTCTCATGCAAAATGCTTAAGCATCCCTTGTCATGTAGGTTAGAGTGTGAGGGTGTGTCCCTTTTCCAAGGACAGCCCCTCTTCCTGGGCCATGGGCAGGTTCTTTTCTCTCTTGTTTTTTTCTCTCTCTCTTCGTGGCCTGCACTGAGCCTTTCTCAGCTGAACAGGAGCCCAGTTTGAGCCAAGCTTATGGTGGGGCAGAATAGGGGTTGGGAAATGCAGCTTCTGCTCAGCTTCCTGAGGTACATACATCTTGTGCTTAAGAGCACATCTGTTTCTCTCTACCAGCAGACAGCTGATCTGCCACTGCCAGCCTGAACAGGAGATGGGAGAAGCAGAGGGGACCCTGTCCCCATCACTCTTGTTCTTAGTGGGGATAGCAGCTGGCAGCAGTTGCCCAAAGGATGGGCAAAGCTACACCTCTGCAGGCTGGAATGGAGGTGGCACAGGCCTCTGGGCTGAGTCCCTGCTCTGCCCCCTTGGTGGGCTGGGCTGTGCTACTGCCCCAGCTGCTGCTGGCTGGAGGGAGGAGTGGGGGCAGGACTGCCATGTTCACACAGCTTGTCAATGTGCTGCAAATTAAGTCCCACCAAGGGAGACAGGCTAGGTGTTTACAGCTGGGATGTTGGGAGGAGGGATTTTGACCAGAATGGGCCTTGAATTTGGGCTTCGCAGTTCTGGTGTGGTTCTGCTTCAGTCAGCTGTGCTCTGGATCTGGCACTGAGCACTGTTAAGCCAAGGCCACAGAAGGTTAATGGTGCTGCTAACAGTGTTATTGATGCCTGATGATGCAAAGAGAAATTGTCAGGACTTTGCAAGTTGCTTTCCCAGGAATGGAGCAATCAATGATGAGGAATGTTGTACTTATTGTAAATTCAGACTCTGCTGATACGGCAGCTTCCTTCACAAGGGTCACTGCATGCCTCCTGTTCCTGTAAATATTTCCTGTTCCATGAAGTTGCCATAGATCACCAAGAGTTGATACAAATAATTAATTTTAGAAAGGATTTAAATTTCTCATACTTTGAAGAATAAGAAGTTTTGTATACCAGCTAAGTGATCTTCTATACAAAGTGATGGAGGAGATCAGCAGATTATTTTGTGTTTGTGCTGCAATTTTCATTATTCCTCACTCCAAAGTACACTGGAACATCAAAGACTGTTGGAGGAGGATTAAATAGACCTCAGGGTCAGCCAAACCCAACCATGCTCACAGATTGGTGGTGTAAATCAATACATCAATTCATTCAGCATGAAAATCAGAGTGCTGACATTCATTTGCAACGCTTACTCTAAAGGACTGATATGTCAGTAATCTTTTATAAAACAAAAGAAGTAAAAATTACTGTATTAGATAAGAATTTCAAGGTGTTATATAATTCTAAAGCAAGCTGGAGAATACCATAATGGTGTTTTGCAAGAAATACTTTTCTGAGTACAGCTGATTTACCAGAAAAGAGGCTGTTTCCTTAGGTTTTTTCCATAACACACAATTTTCCCTATTAGAGACCTGTGCTCTGCATGCAAATCAGGAGAGAGGAGCCAAAACAAAATTACCTAGAATTAAAAGCACAGCAATTACCTTGTAACAATTACAATCTCTGTAAGCAAGCATGATGCATCCCAGCAGGTACCTGCTGTTACATCGCTTACTTCTGCTTAGTATTGAATAAAACTTGCTGCTGTCAGCCTTGGAGGGACTTCTCTCTATCCAAAGGGCTCAGCTGAGGATAGAGAAGCTGTGTGTGCTTCTACCAGAGGTTGGAAGAGCTGTCATGTCACCTGACTGCTGGGATTTTGGCCCATCAGCCTTCCACAGATCCATCTCCCTTCCCAAGATTTCATAGGTTATGTTATGAAGGCTGCACATACCCAGCTGACTTGTGCTAACAATTGTGTTCCAAAGAACATTGTGAAGGGACTGCCTCTCCTCATAAACCCTAATTTGGAGATATTTGCTAAATGCCTGGGCTATGCATTTGTCGAGGATTTATTAGCCAGGAGGCTGACTGGCTGTTGTGTGAAGTGGGAACCACTTCGTTTTCTCCCAAACTCCCAGATGTTAGAGGCTTAGAATACTCATATCCTGCTGAGGGGGTTGTTTTATACATAAGTCAGCTGGCCCTGATTTATTTTTTATCCTTCTGCCCCTGGATACCTTCAGAGATTTTAGTCTCACAGTTTCTGTGGGATTTAGTGAGCAGCTTGTCATTGCTGAAGCCTACTGCAGGATAACCACTATAATAAAATAGCTCTGGGACAGAAACTACCCTCTCATTTCCAATGCCTTGCGTTGCTTTCTCTTTGATTCCCTCCATTATCCTCAGTGACTTGAGAGATGAATGGACCATGCTTTTGATCTTGTAGATTAACTGAAGGCACAAATTTTGTAAGAGAGAAAAATCTCTTGAATCTCACGGACAAAATATTCTCAAATAAACACCTATTTTCTCTCCCCATTTTTCCCCCTCTATGATTTTAAAGGATTCTGACTGCAAGGAGCCCTGCAGGTCTGGAAGAAAGTAGGTGTATTGATGGATAGCTCTTAATCCTTTATTTGTTATGTGTTTGGCACCTGGTTTTTGGCCAGCCTAGCTGATTAACAGACTTGCTGTCACACAGCTGACCAAGAACAATGTCTCAAAAACGGAATTTAAAAAGGTGGGGAAAATGGATATTTATAAAAGTAGTTAACAGTCTTGAATCCTCCGCAATCACTTACACAGAAATATAGCATGACTAGCCTGGTCTGTCTGGGCACGTGAGAACAGGGAAAGTGGGGTATGTTTTCTTTCTTAGCTCTGCCACCATCCCCCCTGCAAGTGAAATTCAGCTTGAAATCTGATGACAATCTTAAATCTCACAAATTAAATATGACTTCCATGTACTTGCTGTCTGCAGAGGACCATTT